ATCATGGTTGAAGATTTCATAATTCATGCATCAAAGGGTTAATATAGCACCTTCTAGAGTCCTGGAACCCCCCCAAGGCGCTTTACATCACAATCAGGACTGGCGCCACCGGTCCCTCCGACCACCACCAGCAGGCAAGGTGGGTTAAGTGTCTTGCCCAAGGACAGAACGACAGCGACAGACTGATCGGGGCTCGAACCTACAACCTTCTGATTACGGGGCGAGCCCCTAACTCCTGTGCCACCGTCGCCCCATAAAAAATTAATGCAGGAAAATAAAATACATTTTTATTAAATATCCATTCATTATTTACCCATCAGATGGATGGAAGAGCCGTGGGTTGCCGACCCCTGTGCTAGATGACGCTCGTCTAGGGGAGTCCTACCATTGGCTTACACACAAAACCGATCATTTGGGTTTGTGAATTTATTATATTTAGCTAGTTAACGTGTTGTTTTTCATCCAGTTTTTTGTCTTGTATTTGTTTCAGAGTGTGTGAGCTGTTGCAGAGTGGAGCAGTCATGAACAGGACTTATCAGCCCCATGAGGGTCACATCCCTTACCTCCTCCAACTCTTCATAGACTACAACCTCTACGGCATGAACCTGATCACACTGGGAGCTGTTAAGTTTCGCAGGAGCCAAAGTAAAGGTCAGGGGTCACTGCAGACACCCAACAACAGCACTTTTTATTGTTTTACAAGTTTCCGTCCACTTTTACCTGCCTGCTTATCCGCGTCGATGGGGAATCCCATTCCCCGGGAACCTCCACCGGCTGAACTGGAAGGATCTCCAGGCCTTTCCTAGTAAAAGTGGAGGTATAATCCTTCCAGCGTGTCCTAAATCGACCTGGTGGTAGGTCATGCCTGAAACGCCTCTCATCGGGGGGTGACTAATGGCATCCTGACCAGACACCTGAACCACCGCAGATGTCCACTCAACATGGACGAGCAGGACTTTACAATGAGTGTTTTCTGAGCATCTGAGCTCTTTACCCCGTCTCTAGAGCTGAGCCCAGCCACCCGACAGAAGAAACTTCGGCTGCTTGCATTCATGACCCCGTTCTTTTGGTCATTGCCACAGCTCATGACCATGGGTGACTATTTGGACGGCAGTCGCCTTGTAAAGTGAGAGCTTTCCTTCCTGGCTTCGCTCCCTCACCACAGCGGACGCAGCCCTGCTCCTCCTGTCTATTTTCTGCCACTTTTCTTCCCTCCCACATGAACAAGAGCCAGAGATACTTAAATTAAGGTTGTGACACAGAGTTGGCAAGCATCTTAAAGCAACAGGAGTGTGATACGCTTGCCAGCCACTAGATGGTGCCATCATATTAGAGAAATACTCCGGAAAGAGACTTTAAAGCACACACACACACACACACACACACACACACACACACACACACACACTACTTTCTACATTTTATCCTCACATGTGACACATTTTAAAAAGTCTCATCCTTTTTCTAACCCATCAGTCACCGACAACCCCTTCAGTGATGCTCTGTCACCTTCGAGGCTTGCTGCAGATTTCCTAGTGACTTCAATGTTCACACAAGTGTAGCGTGGTTAACTACATACTAGGATCCAACACTGTTTGCTATCAGTTTGTTTAGATCCTGAGAAAAGATCCAAACAAGTTCACAATGAAGCTTCTATCATATATAAATATCTAGGATATTATATATTCGATAGAAGTTCATATGCCAACGAGCTTGGTCAATTTTTAATCCAAAGATTAATTTGTAATTTAAGATAATTAAATTTAATAGCAAAAGTTTATTTATTTAATCAGAAGTTGTGTCGTGTCTACGTACCCTTATCTTGGAGACTCTTGTGGATCCGAGATGTCCAGAGTCGTCTCCCGGGTCACAACAGCGTGAAGGTTGGTTGCGTCTAAGAATGGACTCTGAAGGAACCGTTTGCTGTGTCAGCCGCAGGCAGACTTTGACGGCTTGTCAAAGGATTCGGTGGTTCAATGAGTGTATTCCGGGTTGGCCAGTACGGAATTCTGCTCAAACTGAATCAACTGGGGAAGGGATTCTGGTTTTATTGATCCTATGTTATGATTTACTGACAAATCAGAATTTGACATGTTGAGGAGGTTTTACCAACAAACCTCAGAAACCACACCTTTCTTGGAGATCCAGGACTCTCTGATTTGTGGATAAGAGAGCAATGTGTCATGAGATTACTTTAAAATTGTCATCTTGTCATGTGTATGAGTGTGTGAGCTGTCAAGTCACGTACTCCGATTAGATATATGGGCCATTGCGAGAACACATTCAATTCATCCATATTAATTTAAGCACAGATTAATCAACCTTATTAACTGAAGCACAGATTAATCAACCTTATTAACTGAAGCACAGATTAATCAAAACATTTAATCTAACACCTTGTCTATTCATTATATGATTAATTAACTCATATTGTTCATTTCATTATGATTTAATTATAAAAGTTCATCTTTTGTTCTGTGAAGCACGGCAGTCTGAGATAAGCGGACAGCTTTAAGAGAGACTTCAGTGAAGCAACAGTCTGTTGACGGTATGTTATTGTGCGTGCCAAGGCACTGCAGAATCTTTCTTGCAGATTAAAGGCACCAGATGCAGGCTTGTGTGTCTAAATGACCGGATACTGAAGAGGTCAAACTAGATGAAAAACTGACCATTTCTGGACGCTACAAAGTGTTTAGTAAAACTGATTTAACATTGAGATGACATATCTTTACTAAGTTGGATTTCCAGAAAAGTTATACAGTTACACTTCTCCACCATGAAAGTAGGACCCAATGGTGTCAGTGACGGGGTTCTGGATAATTCCTGTTAAGTGTGCCTAATGGTTCAGAATAGGACGGAACAGCTTCTATCAAGCATGGCAGGGATGGCTCAAGGTCGGTCTCAATAGTCAGGATATCGTCTGCATATGGAAATTTATGGTCCTGGCCTGCATTTTCGGTCTTATTCTGCCCAATTTTCAGTGTTTCTAAAAATATTGTTATATTGCATCTGCTTCTTTACATATCTAAGTTGTGTGTTTGTGTTTGTCCAATCCAGGAGAACCACCAGCAGAACCCAATAGAACTGGTACCAGCAGTCTTCCCAGCATTAGCCCCTGGAAGAGTCCCTGCATGTCCACGCTAAATGACAGCACTCCAGGGGGCGCTACGGTCCGCTGGGACAAAGACACTATACCCTGGTAGGTTCCACTAATGCTGCTTACACATTAACGTTTTTTCGGTCGGGGGGGGGGGGGGGGGGGGGTGTTCAGTTTAATCCCGAATGGGCGGTGAAGTATTCACATATAGTTCCAAAGGACTTGTATGGAATGTGAAAATCCCTGAGCCCGTGGGTGGTGTTTCAGACGCGTGGGAAAGACCGAGGTGTAGGGATGGGTACCTTTGACATTTGAATCGATTCGGTACTAATTCCCGGTACCTAGGAATCGATACCGGTACTTAACGGTATCAATTTTCGATACTTTTGAGTGTTTAATATTTTAATTCTCTTTTATAATTAAATACATATTTTTCTCAATTTATAACCGTATTTGATAAATATCACGATAAATAACATACAAGTTTGTATTTTAACATCGTCCTTGTAGTTTTATAAGCTGATAATTAAACTGAAGCAAACATCTTTACTGTGAACTAAATTTACTGCGTATCTTCATTCCTTTTACCGTCCTTTTTCATTAGATTTTTCCTACTGGGAAGTTAGAATTTCCGAGGTGAAAGTGAACGCACCATTAGCTGATAACAATGGTGGCAATGGAAGCTAACATATCAAGCTAACGTTATCTTAAACAGTTTATTTAGCTGCTGGAGCAGATTAAAACGATGATGCCTCACACTTAGATCGTTGTCGCTGGTTTCATCTTCACCCAATCACCCGTCGCATTTAGTAAAGTGAAGCCAAACTTTAGAGCGCGTTCATGTTCTTCTAGTCGGGAATTCGGAGTTCCGAGGAGAAAGCGAACGCACCATTAGCGAAACGGAAGCTAACAAATCAAGCTAACGTTATCTTAAACATTCTATTTACCTACCGGAGCAGATTAAGACGAGGATGTCTCACTTAGATCGTTGTCTGTCACTTGTTTCATCATCAACCAGTTACCCATCACATTTAGTGAAGTGGACCCAAGCTTTAGCGTGCGTTCTTTCTACCGTGCTGCTCTGTTTACAACTGGCTCGCAGCGACCGACGACATAACGCTCTTGCGCATGCGCAGCTGTCTAGGCAAGTTCTCGTTATGAAGGACGGGTACCGAAACGAGGCACCGTTTCAAATGAAGTGAATCGGTGCTCAGTCGGTACTGTGGAATTCGGTCAGTACCTTAAAAAGTACCAAATTCGGTACCCATCACTACCGAGGTGTCCTCCATAATAAGGTAAACAAAGTTGGGCATGAGCTTTGTTGCTTTTAGAAACTCAAAACCACATAATTTTACCAATTTGCTGTGTGTGTTTTCTTCATAAAACTCTCCTCCGCTGCTGGGACACACACACTGCTTTCTCCTCCCACCGAGCAGCTGTCTGCTGGTTCACTGGAGTGAGAGCTGTGATGCGCCAAGGACAGAGCCACACACACACACACACACACACACACATGCACAGCTCTCTCTCTCATTTCCCATCCCCACAGAGCTAGAGACAGAGAAGCTTATTCAACGGCAGGAACCCCCGGCTGGCTGATTCTACTCACCAATCGGAGGCAGTAGGTGTAATTTTCAGCTGAGGAGGAGGTCTGAAAAAAGAGTTGCCTCAGAACTGAAACCGCATATCTGACCCATGTGTGAAACCCAATTCCGGTCCTGTACCCGACCGTGCCGATGCTAATGTGTAAGCAGCTTAACACAAACCCTTCAACAATGCTGCCAAGTTGCTGCAACGCCGAGCCGGCATCCGGGAATCTTAGGTCATTTATTAGTGGTCAGACACTGGCGCAATCGTGTTTTTACAAAAAATTACGCAGTGTTGGTATAAAGGGGTAATGGGGGAGGTCCCTGCGCTGCTGTGGACTTCCATTCATCTTGGACATAACTTGCTTTTCATTGTGATCGAAGCCACGCTCATGAAGTTATTTTGACAAGCCGCCCGTCCTCCACAGTCCCCGCGCAGATATTGGAGAGAAGCTCCACATCACTCTAGTTTATCATCTCGGCTAATTCTGTATTCAAAAATGAAACTTGTGCTCGTTTTTACTTTCATTTTCAGTATATTTTCCTGCCGGGGCTCGGCGCCGACTCCCCACGTGATCACGACACCTCCCGCTGTTGCGCCAAGGCGTAATATGTATTAACATGTTGTTGCTGTCATTTTACCACCCAGCATGGTGGCAAGAATGCCGCACATTTCCCGCACCACCGTGCCCCCACGGCGCGTTCATAAGGCACCGTGGAGACAGTATTTTACTGACTTGTCAGCATGGTATATCTTCTAAAAATGGCCAGTGGTTTTCAGAAAGTTTGCTCTGTGTGCAGCTCCTTAGTCCTGGAAGATGTCGAAAGGCAGAGCACCTGTGAGCTGGAGGTTGACGCCGTGGCCGTAGACATCCTCAACCGCCTTGATGTTGAAGGTAAGATCACTCAAGTTATTATTTCCATTAGGCCTGAATGATTTCTGATCAAAAATACTATTTTAAGTAGCGCAGTCATGTGACTGTCAAAGGTGAGGTTTCTTGCACTGCTCCTTGCTGACCCGCAGTCTTCGTTACGCTGGGGTCGCCCAACACGGCACGCAGGTATTTGTTTATTAACATCCGGGGTACAGTCAGGACTCCTGTTGTGCGTCTGGTAACATTTTCAGGTTTGTCACAGGGACTGGGAGGTGCCAGAATCCCCCCTAATGCATTATGGGTAAAAAAAGTGTGATGATTGGAATAAAAGGCGACTTGGCGGCCTACTTTTTGTCTGATCAGAAATAAATGGGCCGGGAAGGTGTAAAAACACTTTGGGGAGTTACAGGAGACCAAAGACGACGCCGTTCTCCACAACACCATTTTTTCTCGATAACACACCAACAGTTGTTTTTCCACAACAGTTTCAAAATCTAAAACTGCTATTTAACAGCTAACGTTGCAGACGAATAGAAAAAAATGTACTGAAGCCCAGAGAAAAAAATTTATCCCACCAAACCTAGGGGGCGCTAGGGAAAACACATTGTGGCTGATAACGGTCAATCCATAGGCCTAACCTTCCCAAATCTTAAAAGCTCCTTTCATCTTGGAAGAATTAGCATCACTTGATCGAGGCGAAACACATCTAGCTTAGCTAGAGTTTTTGCTAAATTGCAAATAACACAACTGGAGACTTGGATCTTATGATCTGTGGTCAAAGATGACTAAATGTGGTAAAGAAATAACAGAAAGATTAAAGAGGTTGCATGTGACGCAGAGCCGAACTCGGTGCTACCTAGCACTTGACGTAACTGATCTGCGTGATCTTTCAAGATTAAGAGATGAAACTCTGATTATAATATTGAGATGCTAGCCTTGCCTGTGTGTTTAATGAAAGACTTGCATATAGGGGGCGCCAAAGGGCTAAAAAGTTTTCCTGCATGTTTATTTCATCGTGCCGGTTAAAGTGAGATTATTTGCTGACGGGACGCCGGCGAGTTAACGTGCAGGAGGTGCGGGGCGTAATGAGGAATGGCAAAGGCAAGGGTGGGGCGGGGCTGGGTGGGGGAATTGCGGTGTACAGCTTTGAACTTGGAGATTTAAAAAAGGACCGCAGGGTGTGTTCCAACAGAGGTTGAGCTAATATTCACCGCTTCCTGTACGTGTGCGAATGCACTGTAGTTCGTCTTTGAGGCGGATAGTCAGTGGTGGTGTATTCCCTCCCTCTGGAAAGTTGCACTCAAGTTTTATAATCAACCTGAGTTTTATAATCAACCTGAGTCGGGGTTCTTGGCGATGTTTCTCGGGTTCGTCCGGGAGCTCTTTACTGCGCTGCCATGATGGTGGGTGTTCCGACCGGAAGTCCCTTCATGGGGAAAATTATTGAAAAAGCAGTTATGATCCAGCTGAACAACAACCTCCTGGATGGCTTTCAGTCGGGCTTTAGACAACACCGCAGCACTGAGACTGAACCGATGAAAGTATGAAATGATACCCGTATTAATACAGATCAGAATGCCAGATAGGCCAGTCCACCCCTGTCGTTCAGGTGATGCTGCAGCTGTGAGTCTGTGTGCTTCATGAAAGTAAACGTGCTTCACACACATGATTCAATTCAAGTTTATTTATAAAGCGCCAAATCACGACAAGAGTCGTCTCAAGGCACTTCACATAATAAACATTCCAATTCAGGTCAGTTCATTAATCCGATCAGAAATAATGTTTCCTATATAAGGAACCCAGCAAATTGCATCAAGTCACTGACTAGTGTCAGTGACTATACAGCAATCCTCATACTAAGCAAGCATGCAGCGACAGTGGAGAGGAAAACTCCCTTTTGATCCAGAGCTTATTTCATCGTGTTCTGGTCATGGTAGGTGTCAGCAGTAATTTATGTAGCCAGCTGAAGCAGACTTCATTCATTTACATTTTAGTTTTATTCTTTATTTGCTGATAAACATTTAGTGTCTCTAAAGTTCATTGAATTAGGTCGTTTCCAAGCAGCGTTTGAGTTGTTGCCCTGCTGACCTCACATGGATTCGCACTGGCCAAATAAACAAAGACATTTAAAAGACAGAGCAGTCCTTATGTTTTAAACAGTTTACCAATCAAGGGTTGAAAACATACCGGCAAGTGCAGCTAAAAAAGAAGAAGAAATGTTACTACCGGGGGGGGGGGGGGGGGGGGGGGGGGGGGGGGGGGGGGGGGGGGGGGGGGCAACCTGCAAAAAAGCCACATGCCAGCCTGGCACCAACCGCTGGACTACCTAGTCTGTTACAGAAAAGTAGTCGCTTAAAACACGTTTTTCCTGTGCTGACCCGTACGTGCATCTCTAGAAACAGGCACATGGTTGTTTTTATGGCAGTGTTTAGTCACTCATGCAGAAGTAATTTGTCAGAATATCCACAGAATTTCCAGGTTTCAGCACCAGACCACCAGATTCAGGGGGAGGAGTAATGCCTGACGAGGCCGGTGGACCCGTTTTTGATCAATTTGCAGGAAAAATCCTTACATCAACCATATTGCAGCTGAGACAGGAAAATGCACGAAGGCAGTCATTAATGACAATATAACAAAGTAAAAAGCTCCAAAAAGTAGATTTTTCATGATATGGACCTTTTATCACAACCTGTAATTTATTGCAGTTTACCTTTATTTGTTCAGTTGTTAAACACCTGCGTCGAGGTGTGGAAAGAACGACAGTAGAGTGTGTGTGTGCGTGTGCGTGAGCAGGTTAGCTGCAGGACCAGCTCCTGTATGGCGTCAGGTGTAAACTCCGATCTTTGTCTCTCTAGGTCAGACTGGCAGGAACCCTGGACTCCAGGCCATCTGGGAGGATGAGAAGCAGAGGAGGAGAGAGAACAACCAGCCATCCCAGATAGAACCCCCCCATTCACAGGGTGAGGACCTTTCATTGTTCTCATCCATGGTGTTCCGCAAACTCTTTTAATGTGGGAACATCCTGTGCTCACCTGCAAGCACAAGTGAATATAAATAATAGTCCAATTTGTGAAAAACCAGGAATCACGAGTTGTGTGTCTGATGTATTAAAGATCGCGTGTCTGCTGCCCCCACGGAGAGCGAGAACATCTTCATTAGGAGACTGAAGGAGATGCTGAAGGAGTCTGAGTTTAAAGTGTGAGTATCTCATCTTTAATGAAGATAAACACTCCCCCCTTCCTGTGGTGTGCTCTGGACTTTCTTTTACAAACGCTTTGCTGCGTTCCTCGGTTGTAACGAGTCAAAGTTGCTCTTCTGTCAGCTTGAATCAGTCGGCCCGTTCTCCTCTGACCTCCAGCATCAACAAGGCCTTTTGGCCCACAGGACTGATGCATACCGGATAATTTTCCCTTTTCACACCAGTCTCTGTAAACCCTAGAAATGGTTGTGGGTGAAAATCCCAGTAACTGAGCAGACTGTGAAATACTCAGACCGGCCCGTCTGGCACCAACAACCACGCCACGCTCAGAACAGCTTCAATCAGCTTTCTTCCCCGTTCTGACCTTCAGTCTGGAGTTCAGGAGATGGTCTTGACCAGGACCACACCCCTAAATGCACTGATGCAACTGTCATGTGTAGGGATGTAAGAAAATATCGATATGGCAATATATTGTGATATTTTTTCCAGCAATATTATATCGATATTCAAAAGCCGTGTATCGGAAATATCGACATGGCAATATATCGCAATTTTTTTTTCCTGCGATTATTACATCGATGTTCAAAAGGCGTGTATCTAATTCTTGAAAGAATTTACATGCAAACTTCTGTGTATTTTCTTTTCGTTTTATGCAATTCAGTCGCCACCCACTAGTTGGCAGCAGTGTGCAACGTGTTTTGTTTCCACCATTGAACTGTAAATCCCTCCATCATGGTTCAGTTACCTCATGTTAAACATGTTGCGTATCAGTTTGGACTGTTTATTGAACATTCTTACAATAAATTCAGGAAAAAAAAATTGCTTGTAACGTCTGACTGAATGTATCGCAATATATCGTGATATATCGTATCGTCTCCCCTGCATCGTGATATGTATCGTATCGCCAGAATTTCAAAAATACACATCCCTGGTCATGTGATTGGTTGATTAGATAACTGCACTAAGGAGAAGTTGAACAGATGTTCCTAATAACACACACACACTCACACACTCAGAGCTATTCTCTTCTCCCGTTCCCAATGGCAGCTCCGTGCTACAGACAGAGGTTTCCTCAACAGCATCCAGCATGAAAATGAATTGAACCTGCAGGAACCCCCCCCCCCCCCTCCCTCCTCTTGCTCATTCTTCTCACAGATCAGAGGCGGTAGGCGTAAATTCAGCCGGCCAATTAGTCCGTAGTGTCGCCTCGGACCCAGTCTGACCGCTGGGAGAATGTCTGAGAAAAAGAATCGCCCCTGCACCGAAAATGCTAATCTGACCTGTGTGTGAAACCAAATTCCGGTGCCGTTTGATACCTTTTGGGGCGCCATAGTTCTTTTCTGGATTACTTCCAACCCCCTCTGTCTGCATAAGAGCAGTGTTGGAACATCCTGTGGAACCATACCCAGTATTGTACTGCAGATAATAGTGTGTTGCTACAAAAATGGCGGGAAAAAGGCAATTAACAGTGGAAGAGAGATAGACCATCATAACACTTAAATGTAGATCTTTCCTGCAGACAAACGGCAAAGAAAGTCAAGGTGTCAGTGAGGACAGTTTCCTTCACTATCAAAAGGCACTCTGGAGCAAACAGGAAGAGTTCTGGAAGACCCAAAGCCACAAGTGCATCAGAGGACAAGTTCCTAGAGTTAGCTTGCGTGATAGGCTGCTCACAGGACAGCTAGCTCAGAGTCCAAAGAGCTAGCGTTGTCCCTTTAGCAATCTGTCTTGGGGTGTTTCTCAATGCCAAGGAACCTCGCCTTGATGTCTTGGCCCCGCCCCGGTTGCCTAGGAGATACGTCATCAGGAGCCGCCAAGACGTGTTCCAGTATTCATGTTCTCCGTTTGTTAGCCGTTTAGCTAGCTGAGTGAGGATACACGGGAGGTGTCTTGTAGCCTAGCCTTGGTCAAAACTTACCCAGAATACACCGAGGTGTTTTCAAAAGGACGGCAGATCAGAAGCCGGCAGCTACTTCGGGGACAATTTAGTTTAAAAGTAAGTCAACTAATTTAAAATGTTTTTTTTTAGATCCAAAGAAGTTATCTATGGCTGGTTAGTAGCTTAGTAGTTGCAGCTTCGGTGGCTAGCGGGTAGTAACTCACTTATATATTTAATTTAACATTTATATACACAATATAAAAAGTAGAAGGCTCGTTATATATTTATATTGAAACTAATTTATATAAAATATAATGTTGTCTCCTGTATCACGTGACGTTACATGACCACCGTGGAAGCCGCGGTCACGTGATGCAAGTCTGTTCCATTTAACCGTTTTCTTTGACCAAAGAAGGACAGCGTCCTCGTAAGCAAGGTGCCTTTCCTCGCAAGACATCACCTCGCAAGGCCAGGCGCCTTGACATTGAGAAACACCCTTGGTCACTGGCGCAGCTCCGCCCTCTCGGTCCGCCAGGCAACGCCTAATGGTGGTGCATTTTTCAAAATTGGAATGTGGGTGGAGAAGGACTCTGGGACCCACAGTACCCACCCTTTAAGCAGGAAACTGTAGCTTGTGTGATTTATTGTTGGCTCTGAGTGACAGTACCAGATAAGAGTCTCTTTTTGTTCAGGACACCGGATTCATCTGAGGACAACGAGGAATTCTCAGGTGAAATCAGTCTGCACCCTGACCACCTAACCCCTGACCTATCGCCATGTACCCCTGCTAACGCTTTAGAGGTTCACATGGACTCTCAGCCAGGTGAGAAGAACGCTCTCCACATCCAACAGAATCGTTTCAGAAAACAAACCCGGGATTTTTGAGTTAATACAAGGAAATAAAACTCCCTATTTACATTGCATGGCCCAAAGAATGTCACCACCTGGTTTTAACTAACTAAATAGGTAGGAGCCTCCTATTGGGTAATGACTGCATGGGCGATTTATCAACAAGTGAAACCCCAACTGGTGTAAAGAGTTGCTTCTCATTTTTTAAACCAGTGATTCCCAACCAGGGGTATACCCCCTGTAATGCACTCACAGAGTACTGGGGTACGCGGGAAGATGAATATTTTATTACCTACAAAAATGTGTTAGACTGGGTAAAGCTAAACCAATTGGTTGTGAATGTTGCTAAGACTAATTCCATGGTGATTGCTTCTAAATATTTATGAAGAAACAACCTAAGGTTAAAATTATCTATAGGAAATGAGTCAATAAACAAGTACAGGAAATTAAACTTTTGGGTATTGCTATAGACAATCAGCTGTCTTGGAAACGGCACATAAATAATATTGCAAAGAATCTTGGGTGGTGTAATAGCTTCCACCAATAGATGTGCACCATTTTGAATCGATCTGCTCTGAAACATCTTCCACAAGCGTTGCTATTATCAAATTTGGGTTATTCTATAGTTTGGTCAAGTGCAAATTTAGGAACAATTGAAAAACTACAGAAACTCCAACAGAGAGCTGCACGATTCGTATTAAAAAAGGATGATAAAGCAAACGTAAGAGATAGGTACACGGAACTGAATTGGCTATTTGTGAACGACTATTATATTTGTAGGGTTTGGTAAACTGAGTGCTTTAAGAGCTCAATGTATATATTACCTCTACTTATGACCAGTAAGCTGTGATACTCTATCTAAATATAGAATATCAGCCCTGCTTGGCATTTACTGCGTTTATCAGAAGATTCTAGGATTCTTTATCTATTAAGGGATTGTAAACACTTCGTTTGATTCAGAAAAGAGTCAGGTTTATAAAAGTAAGAATGTATTTGACCAACAATAAAAACATGACAAGTTAACTAACATTTACTGTGATGGATGGAACTAGATGTGATGTATGAAACCGATGTGTGAATGCAATCAGCCTGTGGCACTGCTGAGGTGTTCTGGAGGCCCAGGACGCTTCGATAGCGGCCTTAAGCTCATCTAGAGTGTTGGGTCTGGCGTCTCTCAACTTCCTCTTCACAATATCCCACAGGTTCTCTACGGGGTTCAGGTCAGGAGAGTTGGCAGGCCAGTTGAGCACAGTAGGAGGAGATGTTGGAGCACTTCATGTTTCTATCTGCTGAAAAACTTTATAGAGATGAAGATTTCATTTTTCTGCACGACCTGGCACCTGCTCACAGTGCCAACACCACTGCTAAATGGTTTACTGACCATGGTGTTACTCAATTCAATTCAATTCAAAAATACTTTATTAATCCCAGAGGGAAATAGATTGCTATTATTCTTATTCTGAGCTACTACAGCAATCATCAAGATTTAATGATTAACTAATGATTGGGTGAGAAAGTTTACATGAAACCATGTTGAAAAGGTAAGAAAACATCCAATTAAATTGTTTCACCCTCATTTATATGGCGCAGTATGGGGACCAAAATTAAGACCACTGCCCAGCAGCAGGAGGCTATAAAAATTCCGAAGCAAACTACCGATCTGATTAATGATAAGCTGGCACCGGTAACTGAGAGGCCGGCGCTGCTTACTGAGGAATAGCACCTTTACCGGCGTTATTACTAGATACGCTAGGGACTAGCAGCCCTGGGCTGGTCATTGACTGGTTAAAGCTCTCCCTTTGCTGTCTATTAGCATGGATAGGCTAGCAATAGCCTAGACGGGCTGGTGTTAGCATTGGAGAGGCTAGCCATTAGCGTGTCTCAGAGAGTCACTAGTCAGCTAGTGGCCAGCCTAGGGCTGCTAGTCCCTAGCGTATCTAGTAGTAACGCCGGTAAAGGTGCTATTCCTCAGTAAGCAGCGCCAGCCTCTCAGTTACCGGCGCCAGCTTATCATTAATCAGGTCGGTAGTTTGCTTCAGAATTTATATAGCCTCCTGCTGCTGGGCAGTAGTCTTTATTTTGGCCCCCATACCGCGCCATACATTTACAGTCATGGAGTCCAGCGCAGTGCGCGTGGCTCTGGGGTTAATCACGTTTAGTCGTTTCTCTTTGCAACAATCTTCACAAGAAGGCACAACAGTTAAATGGCAGCTTACAGATATTTACATTTGACTGTTTTTTTTTTGGCGGATAAACTCAAGGATGTTGGTTGTTATGAAAGAATTACCCCGACGCCCACTGATGCGCACACAGATGAGCTGACATTTTAATGGTTACGCACATCGCGAAGGGAACTAAATCAATCAAGAAAAGATTCCCATCAGAGCATCAGAGCTTTATACTGGACACTGTGTTCAGCGCGGCTCGCAGCGCACACGGTGGTCAGTGGGCTGAAGATCTGTAGAGGGGTTCGCAGCGCAGCGCAGAACCACGGCGATGCGGTAAGATTTCCTCCCACTGAAGCGGTCTGGAAACCCGGTCTCTCTGAGGGACGTGTCACCTGGAAAAATGTTCTCTGATTATGAAACTTTGGCTGAATAGCGCTTGTTCCCGTCTCCAATAACGCACGGGTGTAGACTAAGTATTAATGAAAAATGAATGAAAATTAAATTGTGAATTTGTACTTTATATTTTAGAAATAAAAATGACGGGGGAACACATTTATCACGTCTTTTTAAACAACATTTTCCAGCGCAACCTGCCTGCTTCGCTTATGTCACTGCTTATTAAGGCCCGTCCAAAATTACCGTGTCCTCCCAAAAATGAACACCTGGCGCTGCGCCTGCTCCGCTGCCTGAACAGAAGTTTCAGTGTGAAAACCTTTCCGACACTCTGTGTGCGGAGCTGACGGAGCAGAATAAACCAGGCTTTAGACAGTCTAACAGTTCGTTTCATCCTGGACTGAGAAGGGAAAACCATTAACAAGACCAAAAAGTGTCTTCACCAGGCGCTATGGGGCTTTTCTTTGCGAACATTTTCAAAGGTAATCCAGGGGCTTCAAGGCTTTGCTTATTTAGTTGTCTTTTTCTGCCGACAGCCGGCACTTCGGCCATTCCCTCTCTCACCTCTGTGCTCCTGTGTGGTTTTTTTACATGCTTTGTCTTGTCCTCATGTTGGGTGTTTCTCGCGCCTGGCCTTGACATTGAGAAACACCCCCTGTGTTAAACAGGCAGTCTGTTGGTTAGCGTAAGCGCTGCTGCCACCTAGAGACTCGGGGTGATTTAGCATAAATACAAACATGAAAAATATGCTAAAAATCATGGATTCTCCTGCATCTTATCTAATCCAGTGGTTGACGCTACGTACTCAGAAGTTTAGTGGATCAAAACTGAACATGAACGTTTGACTTGGAGCCTCCAGAAACGCTGATTGTATTTTTCTTGTAGACTTTGTGAAGATCAGAGGAAGAGTTCCAGAAGAGCCTGTTGTTGACAAAGAGGCCATCTTGAATCTGTTGGAGAGCAGTCAGACGTTTCTGCCACCCTCCCAGATTTCCCATCCTTTTCATTTGACAGGTAGGGGAGCCACCCTCGTGCTTTTCCATGTTTTTACCTGAGCCTTTTTTCTTCATACCACTACACATTAGTGTTGTCGAGCCTGCCTGTACCGATGCATTTGTTCAATATTGGTCTGATCTGGGAATTGAATGACTTGTATGGCATGCCTTCTCTTGTCAGTGCTTTAGAGTTAGGTTGTGCATGGATTTAAAGGACGGTAGTTGAAGCTGCAATAGCAATTTTGGAAAACATTTTTTTCAAACATAGAACAGCTATAGCTATATTGTGGAGATAAAAAATACGATTGAAGTGATTCTCTCGCATTTGTCTGAAAACCTCTGCCAATGACATGGGTCGAACCGCAAACAAACCATTGGACCATCCAGTTGTCAGTCGCGCCAAACCTCGGCACTTCCACAGGTCCTCGTTGTGGGTCCTCGCACATTAAGCAAGAGTTTTGCAGCTCAATAATATCAGAAGGAGAAACATCCAGATGCTACCAATACAACTAGAGGAGTCCCAAAAAGAAAAACATAATTTGAAGTCACGGACAACAAAAGACGTTTGGATGTAGAAAATGACAACTAGTGCTATCTTGTTTCCTGTGGTAGTTCAGGTTTCCGGTTCCAGCTGAGGCATCTCAGGGTAGATGCCCTAGGGGAAGGGTGAGTGTTCCGTGACCATGTTCACCTTCAAAACCTAGCTTGTTCTTTCACTATAACAGCTTTAATGGAACTGGTGATGCTGGGAACGCAGCTTATTTACAGTAATAAATACCAGCTGGAACTTTTCAGCTCTTTAAGCGCAGCAGCTGCAGGAGCTGCAGTTCCACAAAAACCGCTTCAGACCTGTTTAAAATGTTGCCTGTAGCTAATAGATGAGATTTTAGCCTATAAATGAGTGTCAAAAGGGTGCAGTTGTTGTGTTCTTGGGAAAGACACTTAACCCATATTATCTGCTGGTGGTGGTCGGAGGGACTGGTGGTGCCAGTGTTTAGCAGCTCTACTTCTGTCTGTGCCCCAGTGCAGCTGTGGCTACAATGTAGCCCATTACCACAAGTGTGTGAATGTGTGTGTGCATGGGTGAATGACTGTGTTGCAAAGCACCTTGAGGGGTTTGTAGAACCCTAGAATGTGCTATATAACTACAGACCCTTTACCAATTATGGTCAGAAGCTGAGCAGAGGCAACTGCTGGTTATGGCAAGTGACAATGTTGGGGTCACTTGGTGTCCAGTACTGGCAGGTTTCAAAAAAAGGGCTAGGCGTTGGGGGCATGGCGAATTTTGACATCACGCCATGGAATTACGTTTGCCTCTCATTTCCTCAATTCTGATGTTATCGGTACAACAATTCAGGTGATTGATACAAATCCAAACCTCAATAAATATTACCCTGAAAATCTGGTGGGTGTGGCTTAGTTTCTTCACTAGCGCCCCCTAGGTCCAATAAAAATGTCAGGCCCAAGTCATGCTTTGACTGAGGATTGTGAAAATTTGTATACTTATGTTTTGTCTTAGGACCTACAAAAAAACTCTCTTGGAGCCATGCTCCATATCCCACAGGAAGTCGGCCATTTTGGTACAAGTACACCATTTTGTGATTTTTGCACACTTCAATGGTACGTCAACTCCACAGCGCCCTTTACCCCCATCGCCTTCATACTTCTGCTGAAGACTCTTAAGACAAAGCGGGAAAAACTGAACCTACGGATTTTCCAAAAGTCTAAGGGTGTGGGCGTGGGTAAGCCTCAAACATTGACCTGTCACTTCACCATGCTTATACTGTCAGAGCTCCCTATTGGACTCATTTCATCTATTGGGGTCACTTGGTTAGTACTGGCAGGTTTCAAAAAAGGGCAGGACCCTGGGAGCATGGCGAAATTCGCCATCACGCCATGGAAATAAGTTTGCTTCTCATTTCCTCAGTTCTCATGATATCACCAAAAGATTTCTGGTGAGTGATTCTAGTCCGACCCCAATATGAATAGATGTCATAAGCTGGTGGGCGTGGCCTTTTTTCTGTAAAAACGCCCCCTGCAACCATAAAAACTCTCAGCCCCAAGTCATGCTAAAACTGAGGATTGTGAAATTTTGCACACTTATGTAGTGTGCCTGGGCCTACAAAGAAGTCTCATGGAGCCATGCTCCATATCCCACAGGAAGTTGGCCATTTTGTTCCAATTACGTTACAGAGGTTCTTTCGAAGCCGGAATATTTTGCTAATGTAAAACATTTTTAGTGGGGACTGTTGGCAGGCTAGGAGGAAAGGTTGAGTCAGATTGAGGTGACAGCTCACAGTGATCGCAGTTAAATGCACGCTGGGGTGTCTGGCATGCATGGGCGCTCGTGCGCCACTGGTTGCAGGGCAATGGGCCGGGAGAGCGACGGGGATGGAGTGAAGGGGGTGCGGACGGAGGGCGAGCAGCTTCGCTGCGAGGACTGAACGACACTGCTTGCAGCTTTAATTAGAAATACTTTTGGTTGTTTTAAATCCCAACGGACACGAGGACAGAAGTGAAACGGGGAGAGAGAAGGAAGAGGTGGGGAGGGGGATTCATGATAAAAGCAAGGAATGATGTACAAGAATCTGCTTCTAGACCTGCAGAATGAGAGGGAAAAACGGGACACAAAAATACAACAAGTCCAAAATATCACTGTGCCAACAACATGAGGATATATAAAAGTAACTATTTTTGCTTAACAGCACACTGTAATAATTCATAGTGCATTTAGTGCCAACCACAGCCTTAGGTGATGTGTTGAAAATGCTCAGTCCATACTTGTGAGAGCACCTGTGTGCATACACACACTCCCTCCCTCATGCTCACATATGTAAGGATTTCTATAGGAGTGTCTAATAGTGAGTGTAAGGGGCCACAGACCTGCCCCTAAAGACATGTGGAACATGGAGGAGTTCCACGCCCCAGAGATCTAACCATAACCCTGGAGCGCAGGAACGCCAGGGAGAGAGCCGCCGGAGAAGGCCCAACCCCCTCCCAAGAGGTGGAGAGGTTTACCCCAAGGGCCATAACCAGCAGCTGTCAGAGCCCTGGGAGATAACAACAGCAAGCCCCTAGGCCCACCCACAGCTGCCTACCCCCAAGCTGGCCGAGCTCCTGTTTCCCCAGCGAGAGCAGCCATCTACGGCGCTCAGCCACTGTAGCCACAGGTGGGAGGGAGATCTCGGGAGAAGCGCAGAGCAAGGCTGTTATGGTGTCAGATTCGGGATAACAAGACTTTGTTTGGGTCAGGCTGAGATAATTTTCCTCTCTGCCTTCAGTCTTTACTGATCATTCCAGTCCTTCAGTGAAGCCAATTTGGGTTTTTAAACTTGTCCACACCGTCCGGTGACTCTCTCCGAGATGACACCCATTTTGCGCACTAATACCGGTATCGTAGCTAGAACATTGACCAGCATACGATTCACCTCGAGTAGCGTCCCAGTCTGTGAGGTCTCTACACGGACGGTGCTTTCCGTGGGTGCGGGTCGCCCTCCAATCGCTCCCGTCTTCCCAAATTTCCAGAAAACCAGATATCCTCCCACTCCAATCAGAAGAAATCCAGTGATCATCAGGCCAAATATCCACACGTCTTCGATGTCCTCAATGGACAGCTGGGAGAGGCATACGATCTTCCACTGCTTCCAGGAATCCAGCATATACCCCGCCGGGTGTGTCCACTGCGGACTTGTGGGAGCCCCCTGCTCCGCTGTCATTGTTGAAAAAATCTTATCAATCGTGTTGAATGACCATTTTATCAAATCCATTATTAAAAAATAGGGTTTTTCAGAAGAAATGCAGAGAAGCGCTCTGTGGGCAGACAGGACAAAGAGCCTTGGGGGGGAAAAAAGATAAGGGAGCAAAAAGAGAAGCGTCTGTACTCTGCGAGTGCCAGGAAACAACCTAAGGCTCCCTGATGCCGCCACGGCATTGCAGCAAATTGAAAGTGTTGTTTACTTAAAGAAGTTTAGGAAGGAAAGGTTGAGATGGACATCTGGACCCATATTCTGGGACCGTGCTTCAGAAAGGGACTGGATGTGAAAGGAGACGCCTCCGAAAAATGTCTCAAGACTGCGGGTGGTTGTTCTGAGGCCAAGGCTTAGGCGGAGAGGTATTTTGCTGCGGCTGCTCCTAGCCTGGCCAGCCAGACTCCTCCTCTGGTTAATTCTGCACAGAGAAAGAGTCTGGGAACTCTTCTGTTCAAATAACCCCGCCCCCCCCTGAGAATTCTAACCGAGCCAATCAGCGCTGAGCAGCGTACGTCACACACCACAACGGCGAGTTTGTCGAACATGGCGACTGAAGCGGAGTTCGCTGCAGCTTTTTCCTCTGTTCTACATGACTTGGACGCGTCTTTAAAACCACAACAAGTAGAAGTGCCAGAAGCCTTTCTTCTTAAAGAATAACAGATGATTGTGCTGTCGCTAGACGCCATTTTTTGACTACAGCTAAAAAACGACAGCGTCGCGGACGTCACACACAGCGACGCTCAGTTTCTCGTAAACAACGAAGACAGCGGCAGAGCTGGCTACGGCTCTTTCCTCTGTTCTAAATGACTTGAATGTCTTTAATACCACAAGTAGAAGTGCTAAAAGCATTTCTTCCAAATAAAATATGTTTGCGCCGTTGCCAGACGCCTTTTTTACTACAGCTAAAAAACTACAGCGTCACGTGGTACAGTCGGTATTCTCGTCTGCTTATTTTTTAGCCGCCTAGTCCCGCCCCTCGTGTGCCTCTCTGCCTGTGACTAACCGGGCTAGTTACGTGTGCAGAATTAAACAGAGGACGAGTCTGGCAGGCCAAGCTAGCTGCTCCTAGCCTGTGGAATCGGCCTGCTTGAGTGTGGTTTTTAAAACTCTTCTCAAGGTGCACTTCTGGTCGCTAGCGTTCATCACGGTCTGATTGTTGTACATGCACTTGTTTGATTTTTACATATTCGTGTATTTTTAGGCGTTTTTATCCAGCTTTATTTTAGCTGCGATGTGTTTTATTGTTGGTGTGTTTTTAGTGTTTTATCTGAGCTTGTTTATTTTTGCAGACCTTTGGGCGGCACCTTGGTGTTGTCTAGAAAGCTCTACAGAAATAAAATTGCATTGAATGCTGTGACTTATGCACTGTGAGTGCTTAGTCTTTAACTTAGTCTTTTATTTAATTTAAATGTGATTTTAAAACCTGCTCTTCTATGTTGTCATGTTGACTTCAAAATTTGACGAATGTTTTCTGTTCTCTTTGAATCAATACTGTGTATGAAATGTACTAGGCTAAATAAATCCATCTTGCCTCATAAACATTGATTTAACTTCTACATTTTGTTTTATAGACAGTAGTCGGGATACATCCATCATTGATTTGCTGGCAGGACTAGAGGACGACAGTTTCCACAGGACCCCTATCAAGCAGGGTTCCCAGTCCCTCTCCCATCCTAGTGCCAGAGGTTACCACTGTAACAGCGATGAGGAGGAAGCCGAGCCCGAGCTGGAGAAAGAAGAAACTGAGCTCAGTGTGGTGATGTCACAGCGGTGGGATAACGAGCCCACCGAGATCTCTGCTCCACTGAAGCAAGTTTATGTCTGCTATCAGTTTACAAATGACACCTAGAAATAGGGATGGGTACCGAATTCGGTACTTTTTAAGGTACCGACCGAGCACCGATTCACGTCATTTGAAACGGTGCCTCGTTTCGGTACCCGTCCATCATAACGAGAACTTGCCTAGACAGCTGCGCATGCGCAAGAGCGTTATGTCGTCGGTCGCTGCGAGCCAGTTGTAAACAGAGCAGCATGGTAGAAAGAACGCACTCTAACGCTTGGGTAACTAAATGTGATGGGTAACTGGGTGATGATGAAACCAGCGACAACGATCTAAGTGAGACATCCTCATCTTAATCTGCTCCGGTAGGTAAATAAATGTTTAAGGTAACGTTAGCTTGATATGTTAGCTTCCGTTTCGCTAATGGTGCGTTCCCTTTCTCCTCGTAACTCCGAATTTCCGACTAGAAGTTTGGTTTCACTTTACTAAATGCGACGGGTGATTGGGTGAAGACGAAACCAGTGACAACGATCTAAGTGTGAGGCATCATCGTTTTAATCTGCTCCAGCAGCTAAATAAACTGTTAAGTTAATGTTAGCTTGGTATGTTAGCTTCCATTGCCACCATTGTTATCAGCTAATGGTGCGTTCGCTTTCTCCTCGGAAATTCTAACTTCCCAGTAGGAAAAATCAAATGAAAAAAGACGGCAAAAGGAATGAAGATACACAGTAAATTTAGTTCACAGTAAAGATGTTTGCTTCAGTTTATTTATCAGCTTATAAAACTACAAGGACGATGTTAAAATACAAACAGTTGAATGTTATTTATCGTGATATTTATCAAACATGGTTATATATTTAGAAGAATATTATTTAATTATAAAAGAGTATTAAAATATTAAACACTCAAAAGTATCCAAAATTGGTACCGTTAAGTATCGGTATCGATTCCTAGGTACCGGGAATTAGTACAGAATCGATTCAAATGTCAAAGGTACCCATCCCTACGTAGAAATAAAGCTGCCCAAACTAGATGATTATATCATTATATTCTTTCCTAGTAGACTGTTGTGTCCCAGTGAACGGATTTGTTGATCCTGTGTGTCTAGGCTGCGAGAGAAGGACGCTGAGGATAGCCTTAGTGATGAACAAGACTTCTCTGATGAAGACCTAGAGTGGAGCGGGAACAACACCTTGTTTGCTAATCTCTCCATCCCCCAGCTCGATGGAGCAGCTGACGAGAGCAGCGGTGAGTCGTAGACCTTACTGCTGCTTCACAATCCTTCCTGTTAGTTTTGTTGCACAGAGTGTTTGTGGGATTTAAACCCGATATCACCTCTCCTCCTCGTCTCTTTAGATTCATCCCTGACCGACAGCGGCTCCGTGTCACAGTCTTCGCTCATCAGAACAGAAAAGCTGCTGGACAAAACCAGTCCCCTGACTGGAGAAGCTGTCCACTTGGAGCCACCTTCATCTGCTAAGATCCTTGTAGATTACCAACACTCTGAGCACACCCCTCTTCCTCGGTCAGACACAGACAAACCAGCTGACAAGCACCTTTCGCTCAAGAGCGGCCAGGACAGCAGTGGCGACTGCTCAGCAGGGTTTAAGTTCAGTAAGGAAATCCCTTACATCCTATCAGTCAAACATCCAATCCCTTGTAAATTAGCAAGCCACCCTGAGGCGTCTCCGAATGACAGGGGCAAAGAAGACATACGACCACTGTCCACATATAACAAAAACTCCGCAGTAACTGTGGATAAGACCGATTTGGAAGACTTCCAGTTTGGAAATGGGAAAACGTTTAACGGCAGGAAGAGGTTTGGTAGTATAACAAGTGTCGAAGCAAACCGTCTGTCCATTTTACAGAAATGCAGCAACTTCTCCCTGCGTTACTCAAACCTAACAACATGCTCTGTGAAGACTGAGATGGAATTGAATGCAAAGGAAAGGAAGAGCCCTATTCAGGGCAGCATCACCTTTGCTCCACCTCCAATGGATGAGGAGGGATCTTACAAGTACGAGGAGCAAATACCCCAGGAAAGTCGGGAAGGAGATGGTGGCGAGCTCAACATTAGGTACGAGGACTACCAGGGAAATCAAACCGAGAAGACCATTGTGGCTCAGCAGGAAGCTCACTATAAATTCTTCCCCACTGTCATCCTCTCCAACTGCCTCAACAGAAAGAAAGCTGCTAACAAAAATGTGGTAGATGCCTGCAGCAAGCCGGTCCTGCCTGCATCCTGCAGCTTAAAGCCTAAAGCTACCAAGAGAAGGTTAGGAATGTCAGGGCACAGGAACAGAGCGAAGACAGCTCCAAGCTCCGACAGTCCCGCCAACACTACCTCGTTGGAGCTGGTACAACAACACGAGTCAATACAGCAGATGGAGCAAGTTAGAGATGGTTCAAGCTCAGATGTAAAGCTAATCATAGCGGAGGAGTCGGAACATACTAAGGAGACTGAAGATAACCAGACAGAACCTGTCTCCGAGCTGGAACCAGAGGAAGCCACGCTCTCCACACATAGAACACTTCAACAGGAAGTTTGTGCTAAATCGGCCTGTGCCAAGTCACCAGCACTGCCTTTAAATAAATATGCCCTGAGGCCCAAACGGAAGAAGCTTTATCATAGAGAAGATGAGGATGGATCTACTCCCCCCCCTTCTAAGAACCCACGCTCTGCCAAAGAATGTCACGAAGATGGTGGCGTTCCCAGTGGGCAGCAGCCAAAGAACCAGAGGAGGCGCAAAGAGAAAACCCCCTTTGTTATTAAATACATTATTATCAACAGGTTCAAAGGACAGAAGAACATGTTGGTGAAGATGTCGAAGGTGAATGCAGAGGAGCGGGTGGTGTTACTGACTCCAAACAAGCGGGAGAGATACAATAAGCTAGCTCCTCTCAAGGATTTCTGGCCCAGGGTGCCAGAGTCCACTGCGGTCAGGTTTCCTGTCAGTGAGTACAAAGCCAAGAAGCATCCCCAAAGAAAGACAAAGGTCAGCAGCACCAAAAAGAAAGTGCTCACCAGCTTATCCAACCCCTGTGAGAGATACGGCAAAGCCCTCGGTAGGACCAGAAGCCGCCGAAGGCCCTCTCTACCGCCTCCTCGGCCGTGCTATTGTGAGCTGGCAGATGACCATAACAGTGAGTACACTGATGTCATGGCAGAATTGGGCTATCTTTCTGATCGGTCTCTGAGCCCCACCAGGTCAACACCTCCACGCTGCTGGTCCCCATGTAGTCCTCCAATCGCTGGCGAAAGCTCAGAATGGCTGATAAACCCCCTCAGTGACCCGTGTCTGAGTTCTGCTCTTCACAAGCTGCATGCCAAGTCTTCAACCAAAGCAGCCCAGGGGCAGCCGCCAACTCCCAAAACTAAGAAATCCACCATTACGAAAATGAAACCAGGCAAAGCTGCTGCTGCAAGGAGGAACACTGCTACAGGTCCTCCAGCAGCTCCGAGGCCCAGGTGTAGAAAGAAAACGGACCAATCGAATTGTGGTGATGGCTCCTCTCAACGAGCGCCTCCAGGCCTGCCGCTGTTAGGAGCTAGTAGCAACCGTCTGGAGCACTCCCAGATGACGTGTACAGCATTGTCCATCGCAGCCCAGTTCATACAACCCAAGCAGGAGGACATCGAATCTTCAATCATGAAAGACGATGAAGGTTTTTCCGCTCCAGTTGAGATGAAGCAACAAGGCTGTCAGACCACTATGGTCAAACCAGAAGGGGGCCTTTCCTCCCTTCGTAATGAGACATCTTCTGGCCTTGCTGTACGTGAGCAGACCCTCCCCGTGAGAACGGCCGGGACAGACGGGCCTGCCGCTGCCACGGCTCAGCCTGCAGCCACACACACACAACTCACGAGGACCCCCCCCACTGCTCCTCTGAAACACAGGACCGTCACCAGGTCTACTACTCCAAAGTGCAAACGTCTACACACCATCAAAGGCAAGCCCAGCTGTCCTCAGTTTCACGTTTCAGTGGAGCGGGAAGCTGGCGTGTCTAGTGGCTCTCCGGATTCTGAGTCGGACCCGAGACCGGAGAGCTGCAGCTTTATGGAGGACAGCCTGTCTCCAGAGCTTCCTCACAGCTACACATTTGACATCAACACTGTCCATCAGACAGACTTCTGTAGTCCAAGCAGCAGCAGCCAGTTCGTCCTCACCGATAAGAACTTACCCACGAAGTTCCTCAGTGATGTCGGTCAGGAACCGACATTTGCACAAGGTCTACATGATTTCCCCCCAAATCAAACACTACACCACATCTCCTCTCTAAGCCCTGAGCTGACTAAGGACCAACCTGCTGACCCTGAGCACAGAGAGTCTGCACCGCCCAACCACCGGGTGACAACGAAGATCAAAGAGTGGGACTCATTCTTCGGTAAATCCCAGCTGTCCAGCCCGTTTCAAAGCTTTGATTGTGAGAGGAAAGAGTTTCTTTTCTCAGCTTTGGACACGACGGCACCGCGGCCTTTAAGCTTGGCCTCCTTCATGGACCACAAGGACTCACCAACTAGTCACTTACCGGAAAGCATCGAAGGTCTCACTTCCACTACGCCCAGCGGCTCTCCTCATTCCATCAGCTCTCTGTCTCAGGTGGGGGCCAACCAGCTACAGCGGGGGGTTGGGGGCGCCGCTCACATTCTCAAGCCGCTCATGTCCCCCCCAAGTCAAGAGGAGGTCCTCGGCACCCGGCTGGAACTGGAGATGTCCGAGGCCACCTTTCAGGAGCCTTTCTGCAGCGACCCATCAGACTGCCGGGGCAAGCCCATGTAAGGCAACGGGCCGTAAATGGTTGGTTAGGCTAGTTATTGCTGAAACGGATGAAGTTGGTGCTAAACCAGGTGCGGGTTATTACTAGTTAGAGTCAGTAGTGCTGAGTTACAGCTGGGCGATAAAACAATAGCAATTCATATTCAGACATGTCAGAGCTGAGGACACGACTGGGACATGTGGCTGGCTCGTCTCAGTCCTTGTCTCCTCAGAGGAACAGAAACTTGTTAGCAGAAGGTAAACAAAGGCTTTGCTACTCTGAGAGCAGGGACACGTAGAAAACATGCAGCCACAGTGGCCTTCAAGGACCAGGTCTGCTCCCGTTAATGTTCAAAATCACCGGTACTTTCATTTGCAGCAGGTTCACTTGCTCTAGAGGGTGTGTGTGTGTGTGTGCCGCAACTTTCCTCGATGTGGAGTCGCCGAGCGTGCAGGATGGTGGGGGGTTCTCACCTTTTTCACCCTTGACCCATTTTTATGTCACACACAAGCGGCTGGGCTCTCCCTTAGAGATGGGGTGAGAAGCTCGGTCATCTGGGAGGGGCTCGGAGTAGACCCGCTGCTCCTCCACGTCGAGAGGAGCCCGTTGAGGTGGCTCTTGGATGTCTCCCTGGTGAGGTCATGTCCAACTGGGAGGAGACTAGTAATGCACGATGCAACTGGGATGCTGTTGATATGGTTTAAATGAACCAATGACTCTTATGGGCTCGACACACGGGAGGCGACATCGCCTCTCCTCCATTCATTTTCAATGAGACGTGCGCGACAAAGCGATAATCGCGGGTCTCCCTCCTACCAAGCGAAACGCGGAAAACATGCGTGTGAAATTTTGCGCTCGTGCACGTGTCGTGCACAGGCGACCCAGCGACGCGATCCCAGAAAGTTGAAACATTTTCAACTTTTCATCGCTGTCGCTCGGACGAGGACCAATCAACGGAGGTTTCATTCACTGACCAATGAGCGGACAGGATGCTCCGTACACCTCCGAGCAAACATAGAGGAGACGTTGATTATTATTATGTTTTATAGTAAAATCAGAAGTAAGATTTCACATAACTCTAGCAGCACCTTGTGAAACATCATATCTACCGCTTTATTAACTCTGAACCGCTTAAATAACCTTAATTCCCTCCAACCTGACACAGCCAATCAAAACAACGGAAGTTTCGATTTCGCCATGGAACAGAACGCGTAGACGGCTTTGCCGCAGGCCGCCTCCCGTGTGTCGAGCCCATTACTCTTACCCGCCAACCTCGACAGCGCATGAATGTTGTCCAGCTGCGTCAACTCTGGACAAGAGCAGCTGTAGCTTTGTGCACGTGGATGAAGACGGGGCATGGATGGTTCTGCAGACCTGGTTTGGGATTGAGAAATGTGATGTTGAGCAGAAAAGCACCCTCAGTAAGATATGCTGTGCAACAGTGAGCCGGTATCTGATTCCCTTAAATGCCGTTTGTTTTATTTACACACGATTAACACGGGCTTCCAAACGTTTAGGATAGCTCCCGGGATTTAGTTCGAGCCAATTTCCCGCTGCAGTTTAAGCTGTTTATTAATAAAGTCCAAGTCTGAAGCTCCGGTCTGCACAGCAGCTGCAGATCAGCTGATCTGATCGACAAAAGCAAAAGAACTCGCATAAATCTCCAACCTTATCTCACTGTTGTCGACAAAAGCAGCAAAGCATCGTCTTACCTGCAGTTTTTCACCACTGAACCAACACTAACCTTCCATCCGTCCATTATGGTCCGCCTACCCGGGGTCGGGTCGCGGGGGTAGCAGCCCAAGCCGAGGAGCCCCCTCCCCAGCCACCAAACTTCAATGAGCAAAAGAAAAATGATGAAAAGGATGAGGAAAGCCGGCTGTTTTCCATTTTTTGTTTCAGTTAAAGCGATTTAAAATGTAGTTTTTGTTTAGAATAAAATAATTTATTGCGATATCTATCGTTACCGCTCGTACTTCTAAATGTGCCGTATAGATTTTAGGCCCTTTCCTAGAGGACACCTAAAGGGAGACCCAGGACACGCTGAAGGGACCGTCTCTCTCGGCTGGCCAGGGAACACCTTGAGATTCCCCGGAAGTGGCTGGGGAGACGGAAGTCTGGGCTGCTGCCCCCGCGACCCGACCCCGGCTGAGCGGACCATAATGGATGGATGTATGACGGCTGTGATGCTGACTGTCATGTGTTCTGTCCCCAGGGAGGTGGGGGGCCGTAAGCTGACGGTTGGCACCAGACTGGTGAAGGAGCTTCCGGAGTTTAGTGGAGATCTGTCTTTGGAGGGCCTCCGTTTCTGGAAGACTGCCTTCTCAGCCATGACTCGCCCTGCCAGCTGCATGATCTCAGCTTCTCTGAAGTCTGGGGCTAAACCAGCGTCGGACAAGAACAAGAGGATCACACTCCTGCCCTGCAGAAACCCACCGAGCCGCCAGCAGGTCCAGCTGTGGCTGGATGCCAGGAGACAGTACCAAAGTCTGCAGAATGGGAGGAGCAAGCTGGAGAAAGGGAGGGGCTATGAAGAGGAGGAGGAGCAAAATCCAGAGATTACCGGGCAGCCTGCAGGGAGCGCTGGTTCGCGTGGAAACCTTTCCATCCGGGCTCCAAGGAGAAAGAAACTCAGCTTTTCCTCAGCTGGATCCGCTGTGGCCGATCCGGTTCCAGGCAGGACTGCTATGGGTTTGCAAAAAGATCAGGATAATGACAACGATGCTCAGATGTCCTCCCCAGAGCTCCCAGAGCTGCCTCCATGGCAGCAGAACTTCTCAGAACCAGACCATCTCAAGGCAGTCGAGCCCATTGGAAACCCTTTAGAACCTCCGTCTCCCCGGTTCTGTAAGTCCCCAGATGGAGGAGGAGGGAACTGTTCTCCACTTCCTCTTTACAGCAGGGGCAGGGATGACGAGGAGACAAGTCCACACCTGCACAGCACCCCCTTCTTCAGGAAGAGGAGGAGGAGCAGAGCGGACTTGGATCCAGTGTGCAGCACCCCCATGTGTGAAGGTAAGAGAGGTTGTGTTGGTGTTCTGCCTCAGGTACCGGGGGCCTGTGGAAGCCTGACAGTATCACCAGAATATGCCTGTTTTAGAGTATCAGCATATGTCTGACCTGCTCACGCCTCATGTTCTCACGCGCTCGTTGAGGTCAGCAGATCACCGCCTGCTTTGGCGGTTTTAAAATCTCATTTAAAAACCCATTTTTATGGGTTGGCTTTTAACTTGTGACTTGTTTAGTTTCCTTGTTTTATTGTCTTATCTGTGCTTTTAGTGTTATTTGTCTCAATCTAGCTGTGCATGGCAGTCACACTAGTGAAATGTGTACCATCGACATACGTATATGGACAATGGGTTTCCATAGGCTCCAATAACACGTTTTTGAGGCTAAATGGGAGGTGGCCACCACCGCCATTTTGACCGTGTCACAGGTTCCGTCAAGCCCAGACAATTCCACAAAAGGGAAGAGAGGAGGAGCTGAGGGTGGGGCTGTAAGGCTGGGATCAACTGATGACACCCGGTCGAACTAGCTACAAGCTAACCTGAAGCTAACGCGGAGGTGGGAGCTAACGCGGAGGTGGGAGCTAAGCTAACGGAGGTAGCAACCTAGCTACAACCAGAGTTAACTGTGCTCAACACCAGAGCTTCTACGCCGGGCTCACCTGTGGTCCCGAGTTTTCGGTGGTGACCAAAAGAACGAGATCACGGATACAAGCAGCTGAAATGAGTTTTCTCCACAGAGTGGCTGGGCTCTCCCTTAGAGATGGAATGAAAAGCCCTGTCATCTGGGAGGGGCTCGGAGTAGACCCGCTGCTCCTCCACTCGAGGTAGCTCGGGCGTCCGGTCAGGCTGCCTCCTGGATGCCTCCCTGGTGAGTTTTTCCGGGCACGTCAAACTGGGAGGAGACCCAAGCAAAGACACGCTGGAGGAACTGTGTCTCTTGGAATGCCTTTGGGTTCCCCTGGAGAAGCTGGCCCAAGTAGCTGGGGAGGGAGACGTCTGGGCCTCTAGGCTTTGGCTGCTGCCCCCATGACCCGACTCCGGATAAGAGGCTGAAAATAGAAGGATGGATGGAAAATTTCAGAGTAAAAAAAAATCAATGTCTAAGAAAGGCATATTCTGGTGAAACTGTTAAACTTCCATAGAGGCCGGTCTAAAAAGGTTCTTGTCCAGATGTATGACAAGATGTCTGTCAATGTTTCTGCTGCAGGAGTACCGGTTCCTCTCCCCAACAGCAGGAGGAGCCAGGCTGGTCCTCTCAGAAGAGTCCTACTCACTACTCAGATGAAGGTATGTTCAGTAACCGTGTGTGTGGGGGGGGTGTTCTCCCAGTGGTCTGATTTTCATCGCGCTCCTCCCTTCTCAGAACCAGTTTGCTGCTCTGAATGTACCAAAGAAGGACCTTTCTCAGATTGAAGGTCCCAGCTTAGACAACTCTCATGGTTTCAAGGTTAGCATGCAGAACCTGCAGGAGGCCAAAGCTCTGCATGAGGTAAGTTCCTCCTCAGGACTTTACAGCCTCTGCTCTCGAGAGGCTCCCCTGTTGTTGCTTCTCCTGTTTTCCTGGATTTCCAGGTGGATTTAATAAGAAGCCTGCAGATGTGTTTACTTCAGCTCCCTACCTTTGTGCTCTAATTCCTCTTAAAACCAGTTTTTTGCTAGCCTGGCCTGCCAGACTCCTCCTCAGTTTCGTTCTGCACAGAGACCAGGTCTGGGAACTCTTCTATTCAAATAACTCCACCCCCCGAGATTTCTGACCGAGCCAATCGGCGCTGAGCAGCGTACGTCTGGTTACTCAAAGGCAGAGAGGCGGGACTATCCAGCTCAAAAATGACCAATCAGAAAAAAGATGGAAATGCCGACTGTAGTCTTTTAGCTGTAGTCCAAAAAGGCTTTCAGCGCTTCTACTTGTGGTTTTAAAGACGTGTCCAAGTCATTTAGAGCAGAGGAAAGAGCCGCAGCGAACTCCGCTTCAGTCGCCATGTTTATGACAAACTCGGCGCTGATTGGCTCGGTTAGAATTCTCAGGGGGTGGGGCTATTTGAAAAGGAGAGTTACCACAGAGGAGGAGTCTGGCAGGCCAGGCTAGTTTTTTTCTGTCACCAATTAGTTGATTCTGTGGGTTTTGTTGGACCTTTGATTCCTAGGGTTCTTGGGGATTTTTTTGATTTCTTGGACTTTTATTTGGACTATAAATCTTTCGGATCCGACAGAGGCGGATTAGCTAAAGTGTAAACTTTCTGCAACCTTGAAGCTATTTGAATTTCTGTCCTCCCTCTCCTTCCGTCCCACAATGACGGGTTTATGATTTCTAAAACAAATAAAAGGATTCAGAGCATTCGAGGATGTATGACGACTCTCTGCCGAACTGCAAAAGATGGAAATGCTGCTGGATGGTTTTAGAACTCGTCTACCTTCATTGACCAAGACGATTCCCTGTCCCTGTCTGATAAAGAAGCATCCATGCAGAACTCTCCAAGACACCATTGTTTGGGATCCTTCTGCACCATGACTACAGATTTCCAGCTCTTAGTCAATCACCTGACCTGAATGGCATTACATTAATCTCCGAGAACAAACTAAGGAACCTTGGTGTTATCTTTGACCAGGACATGTCATTCAAATCCCAGGTTAAACTGGTTTGTAGGATTTCCTTTTTCCACCTTCGGAATATTGCTAAGATTAGAAGCATCCTTTCCAGGAGTGATGCTGAAAAACTAGTTCATGCATTTATTACATCAAGACTGGATTACTGTAATCCATTACTCTCAGGAAGTCCACAGAATGTAGTTAAAAGTCTTCAGCTTGTCCAAAATGCTGCAGCTAGAGTTCTGATGAGAATTAAAAAGAGAGATCATATGTCTCCTGTCTTAGCTTCCCTACATTGGCTACCTGTTAAATTCAGAATAGATTTTAAGATCCTTCTTCTCACATATAAAGCTCTTAATAATCAAGCTCCATCATACATCAGTAATCTGATTGTTCCGTATGTTCCTAACCGAGCACTTCGCTCTCAGACTGCAGGTCTACTGGTGGTTCCCAGAATATCTAAAATTAGGATGGGAGGCAGATCTTTTAGTTATCAGGCTCCTCTCCTGTGGAACCAGCTCCCAGATTTAGTCCGTGAGGCAGACACCTTGTCTACATTTAAGACTAGGCTTAAAACATTTTTATTTGATAGGGTCTATGGTTAAAATCTGCTGTTAGCCTAAATCTGGACAAGTGGGGGAGTAGAGGGACAGAAAAGCCGTCTGTCTGGCCCCAAATCCAAAACCAGGTTCTCCCTGTTCTGGTTACTTCAAAGAAGCCAAAACGTCTTTGCTCAAGGCCTGATGCAAGAGTCAGAGTGCTGCATCCTCACTAGGAATGAAAGTCAACCTCCTCAAAGTTCCTATGTGACTTTACAGCTAATAAGTATAAATAATTATATGTGTTGAATGAACAAGATGTTTAAGTCAAATGTTTGAATAATCTGTGCTTTAATCAATGATGGCTTTAAAAATAATATTTTTCCTGCAATGATCCATTTCAGATCTTATCTACACCAGATCAGTACGTGTTAATTTAACAAGTTAATATCTACACTCAGGCACGTTATAATGAGATACTTAATAATGCTAACATTCACTTCACATAAGTGTTTTAAAACGTTCTCATTCAGAAAGAGTTAACCTCTCGGAGGACCTGAGTGAAGGCGTGACGTCTGAGAGATGAGCGTGTCAAATTCTGATTTGCCAAATTTATCAACAATGTAGTTTTAATAAAACAAGAATTACTTCCCGATTAATTCAGTTTCCAGCTGACTCCTGGTTCGGCCGAATCGAGGGGGGGGGGGGGGGGGGGCATTTTGAAACCGTCTCCTCCGTTGACTTTAAGTCAAAAGCCTCTGTGACTCTGCGAGTGAAACAGACACAACAGCTCTTTTCAGAGCTACTTCACACCTCAAACGTCTGACCTGCAGAGCCCGGGTCGCATCCCATGGCCGGTGAGGCTGAACTCAAAGGGGTCTACTAATCTTTGAGTCTTGTGGTCTCGACGTCGGTTGACCCACCACTCGGACCGCCGGGAGCAGCACATACACAAGGGTTTTGTAGGCTGCACACGGCGTCGTGGCGTCTGTGGGTTAACAAACATACAGCCAAATTGTTTTCCAACCCAGACTACACATTCTCTCAGATACTTCAGAAAGGTTCTGCTAAAACTTCTAGTTCCAGTACAACATTTCATCCGTCACATTAATCCACTTCATGTCCATCATTCCATTCCTATCTTGTCGTGTATAATTATTAGTTTAGGGAAAAGAAATAAATTCATTTTTATAAACTACATGCTGACTCTGTCTGAATTAATACGAAGTGTGTTTATGATCCCTGAATAAGTCAAAGGAACTAGAATCTTCTGGAAAAACATTCAAGGATCAATCAGATTGATATTTCATATTTAAATGGATTCACCACATCTTATTGGTCATTTTTAAGAAATATGTAGTCAATCCTCAACGCTACACCTCGACCACATCTGCTGCCACCACTCCCACTTATAGCCTGCTGTCTGCCACGTGCGGCTGCCCACCAAGCGCCGCAGGGCCGGCAGCGAGCTGTGGTGAACCATTCGGAGCAACAAGCTGCAAACAGCCTGCTGCTTCCATAACTGAATCATTCTCCATTTCCTCGTCTTCCCCTTCCTGGTACAGACTGGATGGGGTGGTCACAGCTGTTCACATGACTCCACGTGTCTAGCTGTGACCCAGGCTCTACTGGACTTCGTCTCAGCTTTTTAAAGGGACGTCAGCAACCTGCTCTGGTTTCTTCATCACTTTAAAATAAATAAATAAATGAGTTGGTAATCTTTGGTTTACTGCCCATCCCCACTGCCCCACAGGTGTCTGCATGTCACACACACACACACACACACACACACACACACACACACACACACACACACACACACACACACACACACACACACACACACACACACACACACACGTGTCTGCAGTTCACACACACACACACAGGTGTCTGCAGATCACACATACACACACACACACACACACACACACACACACACACGTGTCTGCAGTTCACACACACACACACACACACACACACAAAGTAATTTGCATTCTTATGGGATCCTTAGATCATAATTCTACATGCAGACACCGTTCTGACAGCTTGGTCACATTGTGTGTGTGTGTGTGTGTGTGTGTGTGTGTGTGTGTGTGTGTGTGTGTGTGTGTGTGTGTGTGTGTGTGTGTGTGTGTGTGTGTGTGTGTGTGTGAACTGCAGACACGTGTGTGTGTGTGTGTGTGTGTGTGTGATCTGCAGACACCTGTGTGTGTGTGTGTGTGTGTGTGTGTGTGTGTGTGTGTGAGTGTGTGTGTGTGTGTGTGTGTGTGTGTGTGAACTGCAGACACGTGTGTGTGTGTGTGTGTGTGTGTGTGTGTGTGTGATCTGCAGACACCTGTGTGTGTGTGTGTGTGTGTGTGACGTAGAACTGTTGTCAGCGATGTCTCTGTTCCCATCAGGTGCAGCACCTGACGCTGATGGGAATGGAACTCCACGCAAGAAGCCGACGTGACCTTGAGTGTGACCCTGAGTTTGACCCCATATGTGCCTTGTTCTACTGCTTCCATTCTGACGACCCACTCCAGGACGTAGGCAGCACCAGGCTAAGCGCGGCCATCATGGTGGACAGAACCCGTCTAGGTTGTGACCAGGGTAACGTCCCGACGCGTCGTCAGGCTTTTCCAATGACACCTCAGCCAGACTCTGGTGGCTGCGGTTTGGTATTTCCTCCAACTTTCCATCTACCCTTCAGTCCTCGCGTCGTTGTGGTCCCGAGCACGCTGACCCGTACCGGCGTCATGACTGGTTGGCTAGTGGGCGGGGTCACTGGTTGCTCCTGAGCTTTTGGACGGCTGAATATTCAACATGACTTCTGTGCTGGGCTGTGTCTCTGTGTAGCATACACATCACCTCATGCTAACTTTGTCTAGAGTAAAGATCTCGCCTCACCCCAGCACTACCAGGGACGCCGGCGCCCAGTGTTTGTCAGGGCGCCGGCAGGGAAAGCAACTCTGAGCTGAGCTGTGTTCACCACGCCGTAGCAAGCAGGGTCTGGCTGAGTGGTGCTGTTGGAAGAGCCCCATGAGTCAAATGCAGCCATCTGCAGTCCTTTAGCCTGAACACACTCCGGCTGAACCTTCTGTCTGCAGATTGCAGAGGAACGGCGCCGCCGCTGCTACACAGGTCAGGCGTCTCTGGGCTGCACGTGACATACGTCAGCGAGGAGAAGACGCTGTTGGAGGAGCTGGTCTCAGTGGTGAGAAGGTGAGCTGTTGTGTGCAGAAGGCAGAACGCCGTTTGAGTGAGATGCCAGGTTGAAGGATGCTGTGGTAACGTATGACTTCATGTTTCCACGTAGTCTGGTTGCTTTAGAGAGCTTAAGTCACGCCCACCTACTTCTGGCTCCCGGGTCCCGGAGGAACGATGAAACGAATGCATGTCAACGGGGCTAAAGACGCTCATTTCTAGTTCCGCTTGTGTTGAGCCACACATGATGTCCATGAATTTTAAATACGCATTTTGATACCAAGAAATAGCTTATTTTCAAACGAGGGGGGGGGGGGGGGGACGATATTTTAGGTGTTGTGCTAAAATAAGTCCAGAAGTACAAATGTGACCTCATCGCACCAGACACGGAGTGAACCCATGTGCAGCAGTGGGTCGATGGGTTCTCAGACCTCCGAGTAGCTGGCAGAACCATGCCTTCTACATGTCTACTACTTTGTTTCCGTGCTGCAGTGGATGACCGATGCTGAACTTTGACCTGCTGCTGACCTGCCTTTGTCCTGACAGGTTTGATCCAGACATCTTGGTGGGCTATGAGGTGCAAATGAATTCTTGGGGTTACCTCCTTCAGAGGGCTGCAGCACTTGGAGTGGATCTGTGCCCGCAGCTGTCCCGAGTGCCAGGTACCATCAGCACCACCACAGAACCACACGTGTTCCCCTCTCCAGATCTGTTTCCTTTGGACCCAGCTGCAAGTGGAAACGACCCAATCACAAAAAGTAACCCTCACCTAACCATAACCACCCAGTCACGTTTGTTTCAGGGTTAGGACACACACTTTTGCCAGTTGATGGTTCAAACTCGCAGCTGGGTGCAAAGAAACAGATCTCGAGAGAGGAACAGTGTTTTCCCTGGAAATGCTTCCAACTGTGGCGCGGGGTGGGGGTGGGGGGTACAGTAGGGGGGTAATTATGTAGGGGAAACACTGACACACACACCACATCGACATCCACCTGTTTTCTTTTAAGTGTGTGTGTGAGTGAGGAGTCACTCCGCTGCTCCGGTTCTGTTTTTGATTCTCAGGCGACTCCAAACAGAACCACTTCTCCGCTGAGAGGGACGAGTACGGAGCCGACACCATGACCGAGATCAACATTATCGGACGGATCACTCTGAACCTGTGGAGGGTGATGAAGACAGAGGCAAGTGTTCACACACTCACACACACACACACACACACACACACACACACACACACACACACACACACACGAACATACACTCGCATGCACTCACACACACGAACATACATTCGCACGCACGCACACGAAGACACACACACATGCACACAAACACACACTCGCACGCACGCACACGAACACACACTCGCATTTACGCACGAACACACACACACACGCACACACACACATACACACACGAACACACACACACACGCACACACACACATACACACACGAACACACACACACACGCACACACACACACATACACACACGAACACACACACACACGCACACAAACACGCATGCACGCACACACGAACACACACACACACACACAAACACACACTCGCACGCACTCACGCACGCACACGAACACACACGAACACACACTCGCACGCACACACTCACACACATACACACACGAACACACGCACACGAACACACACATACACACACGCGCACACACATACACACACGCACACACATACACACACGAATACACACACACACGAACACACACTCGCACGCACACACACACACACACACACACGCACGCACACACACATGAACACACACTCGCACGCACACACATACACACACGAATACACACACACGCACACACACGCACACACACGAACACACACTCGCACGCACGCACACACGAACACACACACACACACACGAACGAACACACACACACACGAACACACACACACACGAACGAACACACACACACACACTTGCACACACACACACGAACGAACACACACACACACGAACACACACACACACGAACACACACACACACGAACGAACACACACACACACACTTGCACACACACACACACACGCGCGCGCGCGCACTAAATATATCTATTTTATCCTTCTTTTCCTATATTTACACGTAACATTTTCATATAAAAAGTCAAAATACAATATAAACAAAACTTTTAGGACGTGTGATTAGTCCAGCTGGCCAGGGCTGTGGTCGTCTCACAGCTCATCCGCCATTTCAAACCAATCAGGAAGCTTTGTGCTAAACGCTGTTGCTTCTGCTCATCTGCACAAAGATGTGTTGGATAACCTAAAGTAGTAACCTCTAAATCCCTAAGTTTTATTTTGTTTGTCCAAATCGCAGAGATACAGCTCTGGATTATGACTGGAGGTTGTTTTTGCCCTCCAGCTTGTATGTACGTGTGCAGTTACCCACATGTAAACAATAACTTTCAAGCGGTCTATGACTTCATATTAGTTTGAGCCCATATCGCCAGCCATACTCGCGGTCTATAATAGAGTCCGAGGACTTTGAGTTGGACTCTCCTCTCTCTGGTGCTGAGGTCACTGAGGTGGTCAAAAAACTCCTCACTGGCAAGTCCCCGGGGGTGGATGAGATCCGCCCGGAGTTCCTTAAGGCTCTGGATGTTGTGGGGCTGTGTTGGCTGACGCGGCTCTGCAATATCGCGTGGACATCGGGGCAGTCCCACTGGACTGGCAGACCAGGGTGGTGGTCCCCTTATTTAAAAAGGGGGACCGCAGGGTGTGTTCCAACTACAGGGGGATCACACTCCTGAGCCTTCCTGGTAAGGTTTGTTCAGGGGTTCTGGAGAGGAGGGTCCATTGGATTGTTGAACCTCAGATTCAGGAGGAGCAATGTGGTTTTCATCCTGGCCGTGGAACACTGGACCAGCTCTATACCCTTAGGGGGATCCTGGAGGGTGCGTGGGAATTTGCCCAACCAGTCTACATGTGTTTTGTGGATTTGGAGAAGGTGTTTGACCGCGTCCCTCGGGGGCCCTGTGGGGGGTACTCCGGGAGTATGTGGTACCAGGCCCTCTGATACGGGCTGTTAGGTCCCTGTATGACTGGTGTCAGAGCTTGGTCCACATTGCCGGCAGTAAGTCGGGCTCGTGAGAGTTGGACTCCGCCAAGGCTGCCCTTTGTCACCTATTCTGTTCATAACCTTTATGGACAGGATTTCTAGGCACAGCCAAGGTGTGGAGGGCATCCGTTTTGGTGGCCTGAGGATCAGGTCTCTGCTTTTTGCAGATGATGTGGTCCTGTTGGCTTCATCAGAACGTGATCTTCAGCTTTCACTGGAGCGGTTCACAGCCAAGTGTGAAGCAGCTGGGATGAGAATCAGCTCCTCTGAACCTGAGACCATGGTCTTGAGTCAGAAAAGGGTAGAATGCCTTCTCCGGGTCAGGGATGAGGTCCTGCCCCAAGTGGAGGAGTTTAAGTATCTCGGGGTCTTGTTCACGAGTGAGGGAAAACTGGAGCGTGAGATCGATAGGCGGATTGGTGCTGCGTCTGCAGTGATGCGGGCGTTGTACCGGTCTGTCGTGGTGAAGAGAGAGCGGAGTCCGAAGGCAAAGCTCTCAATTTACCGGTCGATCTACGTTCCTACCCTCACCTATGGTCATGAGCTTTGGGTAGTGACCGAAAGAACAAGAATGTGGATACAAGCGGCCGAAATGAGCTTTCTATGCAGAGTGTCTGGGCTCTCCCTTAGAGATAGGGTGAGAAGCTCCGTCATCCAGGAGGGGCTCGGAGTAGACCTGCTGCTCCTCCACATCGAGAGGAGCCATTTGAGGTGGCTTGGGCATCTGGTCAGGATGCCTCCCTGGTGAGGTTTTCCGGGCACGTCCAACTGAGAGGAGACCCAAGGGAAGACCCAGGACACACTGTAGGGACTATTGGGCCATTCCCATCTGTACCGGGTCGGCCCGGGCCGGGTAGCCCCAGTCGGCCCCAGCCTGGCCCGGTTGATTCCACACATCCTTGTCTTAAGCCCATGTGGGCTGATTCTACCCACCAATCAGAGGCTTGCTCTAATGGAAGGTGTGAATTGCTGTCAGCAGTGGGTGTGTTGGCCCTGGTCGGCCTGAAGCAGACCCCCTCGGGAAGAGGGCCGAGAATGAGCCTTGGTTGGCCCGGAAAAATACCAGGCCACCCAGATATGTAAACAACCTACGCTACCCGGCCCGGGCCGACCCGGTACAGATGGGAATGGGGCTTATGTCTCTCACCTGGCAAGGGAACACCTTGGGATTCCCCTGGAAGAGTTGACCCAAGTAGCTGGGGAGAGGGAAGTCTGAGCGTCTCGGCTTAGGCTGCTGCCCCCGCGACCCGACTCCGGATAAGCGGAAGAAAATGGATGGGTGAATTATTGTTTGACATTTTTACTTCACATTAAGGAAGATAACCTCTGTAGGTCTTTCAAGAATGATGTAGCGTCTGAGGGACACTTCCTCTAAAGTCAGCTCTGCCATCGGCCCGGCCCGGCCAAGCCGAGCAAGTAAGCGCTGAACCGTCCTTCATTAACAAAAAGTACAATTGTACATGTTGGCCGGAGTATCTGCGCACAGTTCCACGTTTTATCTGCGTTCCATTTCAAGTACTCGTGCATCTAGAGTCACAGAAGCCCTTAAAAATGTCAGCATGTCTAAAAACAATCTTGAGCAACCGTGAATGCAAGTTCGGTTCAGCTTTCGTAAACCAGAACTACGCCATTTTGTATCGCTTTTGTTTGAATAAATCAGTTAGATTTTACCCAATTCCTTTAGGGGTTTCTTAAACTGAAGTAGTTCCAGTGTATTTTTAAAGCTTAAGCAGACATGATGTAGGCAACCTACAGGATTTATTTAAGTGGTATGAGTTTATATCAGTATTGGAAATGAAGAGTTAGACGATGTCAGGTTAGGGCTTTAAAGTCTGATCTTATTGCTCCTCAAGGTGACGTTGAACAGTTACAGCTTTGAGAATGTGGCCTTCCACGTTCTGCACCAACGCTTCCCACTCTACAGCCGTCGCCTGCTGTCCGACTGGTTCGACCACAGCACACACCTGTACAGGTACAGCCTTCACTTAACGAGCCATTTTAATACACTCAGTCTCCCTCTAACCCCTACTGCACACTGGAGGCATCAGCGGTGCGGAGCGTCACTGCTAATATTAGGATCCACTAGAGTCTACGGGGGGGGGGGGGTTCAAACCAGCCGTGACGCAGCAAATTTCAGACGTCTGAAAACTGATGCAGCAGAAGTGCAGCAAAGTGCATCAAATAGCGATACCAAACGTGATTTACTTCTTTTTGGGTTAATGGCGGACGACATAAACTCGAGGGGTTTTCTGATCTCACGGGTTGAGTGAGGAGCACACCTGGAGTCGGCTGTTTCGCGGCTGACTCCAGGTGTGCGGTAGTGCAGCGATTGTCGCAAGTAAACCTTTCCGCTGCCGTTCCCCACCGCTGATGCTTCCAACGTGCAGGAGGGGTTAGGGCAGGGCTATTCAAGTCCTCGAGGGCCGGCATCCAGCACGTTTTAGTGGTTTCTCTGCTCCAACACACTAGGTTCAGTGGTTGAGTCACCTGTGCAGCAGCTCGTCAGGCTCTGCAGAAGCCTGTTAATCACCTGCTGATTGAAATCAGGTGTGTTGAAGCAGGCTAAAACTAAAACGTGCTGGACACCGGCCCTCGAGGCCCGGACTTGCCTGCACTCTTTTGGGTTTACCATAAAGGATTACAAACATCTGCTTTTGACCTTGAACGGACGCATGATGAAACGAGCTTTGTTTGGTACTGTCCATGGTACTGTAGGTGGAAAGTGGTGGATCATTACATGACCCATGTGCATGGTACCATGCAGCTTCTGCAGCAGCACGACATCATCGGCAGAACCAGCGAGCTTGCCAGACTCTTTGGAATTCAGTTCCTCCATGTTTTGACCCGGGGCTCACAGGTGCTGTAAGACTTCATTCATTCCAGTTCCCCTCTCTGCTTTCTCCGACCCCAGATGAGTGGGACCGAGCAGTCTTTTCTGTTCAGGCGCTGTTCCATCTCAGTGTCCTCTTTTTGGGCTGCATGGTGTGGTGGTAGGTTTAGGGTAGCAGCCTTTAGCGCGATCTCCCTGAGCATGGATTGGTCAGAGCTAGGACCAATGAGAGCTGCAAACATCGGCAGTCTGCCATACAACGAAGAAGCAGCAGCAAAGAAATTCTTTCTAATGAAGGAACCAAAGTACCTCTATCTGCTCGTGTCTCCAAGAAAAGCCTACGTCTAAATATTTCAGATTTGATGTCAATCCTCGTTTCAAACGTATGCTGTTCCTGAACCGACGCCATCTTTGTATGCTGGTGAAGGTTCTCAGGCATCCGGGTCAGGTTCATCCAAACGGGTTTAAATGAAGGCAGCTGGACTTCTGAAGGCGTTTCGCTGATGAGGTAGGGAGGAGTGGCGTTCAAAGGTAGTTTCTGCTCATTAAGCAACAACCATCAAGATATATACTGGTGCACGGTGGCGCAGTTGTTAGCACTGTTGCCTCGCAGCACGAAGGTTGCAGGTTCGAAACTCGGCTGCGGCCTTTCTGCGTGGAGTTGCATGGTCTCCCCATGCATGCGTGGGTTTCCTCCGGGTACTCCGGTTTCCCCCACAGATCACAACACGCCCTGTAGGTTATAAATTGTAAGTCGCTTTGGATAAAAGCGTCTGCTAATAAATAAACATAAACAAAAAATGTCCATCTACTCAATTCATACATTTTTGGTTTCAAATGGGGGTTCCCACCACCGCCATTTTGACCATGTCACACGTCTCATCACGCCCAGACAATCCAAAAATGAACCAATATAGCTAACTTGGCTAACCCAAGAAGCTAAGAAGGGGCTCCGGGGACTAGGGTAGCCCACGCGCATTGCTGCCTGGCTTCCCTGTGAGCCTATGGAGATCTAATGTGGACTGGGGCTGTGAAATTACAAGCAGAGCCACAGGATCTTAGGTGTGTTCTTGCTGTGTCTTTGTAAATCCATGCTTTCGTTCTTTTTTAAACACAGAAACAGTTTTGTTTACCTGTTTGTAGCTACGGTTTCGCCGACAGCTGCCGGCTTCTTCAGGCTGACGCTGATGGTGGCGCGTCACTTCCTTCTCCGTTTATCTGCGGGCAGCAGAGGACGTTGTCGCCCTCTACTGCCCGCTCTCCCCTCTCCGACGATGCAGTCCCATGCGTGGTCCAGCGTGTAAACTCCGTCGTCCCTGTTCATGGTCCCACATCCACGTCTCCTTATCTCGATTGCTTCCTTGATCCATCTTTTGTATTTTTGTTGTTCAGTGGTTATGATCCGTGTGCTGTCCCAGTCCATTACATGGTTTTCTCTTAAGCAGTGATCTGTTACGGCTGACTTTTTTATTGTACTTTCTGCTTCTTCTTTTGCTGCTCTTGTGTGTTTATGATTTGCCTCTTTCTCGCACTCCTTTCTGTGTTCTATTGTTCGTGTATTGAGTTGGCGTCCGGTTTCTCCTACGTATGTTTTACTGCAGAGTTTGCATGGGATTTCGTAGATGACTCCACATTTTTGTCCAGCTGGTATTTTGTCTTTTGGGTGTACTAATCTGTTTCTAACTGTTGTGTATGGCTTTGTTGGTGTGTTTATGTTGTGTTTTTTCATTGTTGCTCTTATTTTTTCTGTTATGCCTCTGATGTATGGTAGGGTTATCACTGGTTCTGGTTCTTGTCTTTCTGGGTTTCTGGTTCTTTTTTTGGGTTGTTCTTTGCTTTCTGTTTTTGTTTGTTGTTTTCCTTTGTTTATTGCCCATGTCGGGTATGCGCAGGTCTTTAAAGCGTGTTGTATGTGTTTGTCCTCTTGTTTACGGTCTCTCTCTTCTGTTATTATGTTTGCTCGGTGATATAATGTTCTGATTACTGACATGTTGTGTATGGTGGGGTGTTCTGATGTCCGTAATAAATATTGGTCTGTGTGTGTTGGTTTCCTGTGTGTGTTTATGTTTAGGGTCCCGTCGGTCTGCCTGGTGATTTTCATGTCCATAAAAGCTATGCTGCCTTCTGTTTCTGACTCATAAGTGAATTTTATGTTGCCCGTGTCGTCAATGTTATTTAAGGGTTTTTTTAGTGTTTCTGTTTGACCTTTTGGTATGATTTCCAGTATGTCGTCTACGTAGCGTTTCCATAGTTTTATTTTGCAGTTTGGGGGGGCGGTGGCTATGGCTTTTTGTTCCAGGTCTTCCATGAAAAACTGGCACAGGGTGGCTGATAACGGGTTACCCATGGCGAAGCCTTCCAGTTGTTTGTATATTGTGTTGTCGTACGTGAAGTAAGTGGAGTTAGCTACCAGTCCTATCAGTTGTGCTATGTCATCTGCTGTGAGGTTTGTTCTTTTGTGTAAAGTTTTGTCTTGTCTGATTCTGTTAACTACTGTGTCTATGGTTTTTTGGGTTGGTGTTTTTGTGAACAGAGATGTGACGTCATGTGAGATGAGTATGTCGTTGTCTTCTATTGTAATTTCCTTTAGTTCTTTTGCCAATTCTATACTATTTTTGCAGTGTTGGTCTGTATTTCCTAATAACGGGCTGATGATTCTGCTGATATCTTTTGCCATGTTGTATGTTGGTGTACCTATGCTGTCTACTATTGGTCTAAGTGGTGTTTTGTTTATGTATTTTTGGTGTTCCATATATTCTTGGTGTTATGTTTGCTGTGGGAATCCAGTGTTTGTACATTTTTTTCTGTTATTTTGCCTTTTTCGTGCAGTGGCTTCAGTAATTTTTTCATGTTTTTCTTAATGTTTTCTGTTGGATCTTTTTTAAGTATTTCATCTGTATTTTTGTCTTCTAGCATCTGTTTCATCTGTTGTTTATATTTTTCTCTGTCCATAACTACTGTGGTTCTTCCTTTATCTGCCGGTAGAATAATTATCTGTTCATTTTTGGATAAAGCTGTCATGGCTGATTGTTCTTCTTTTGTAATATTGCTGTGTTGAATTTGGCTGTTTTTTAATATCCCAACTACGTTATTTCTGAGTTCTGCTTTCTTTCCCTCATCTGTGATCTGTTGACATGCTAGTTCTGTTGCTACAATAAATTCATCATATGGTATTTCTTTTGGTGTGACTGCAAAGTTTAAACCTTTCTTTAATATGCTCTCTTCTGCTTCTGTTAGTTTGTATTGTGAAATGTTACATACCCATGAGTTTGGTGTGGAGTTGCCTTGTATTTCTCCCCTCTTTTTCTTGTTTATGGGAGAGGGGAGAAATACAAGGCAACTCCACACCAAACTCATGGGTATGTAACATTTCACAATACAAACTAACAGAAGCAGAAGAGAGCATATTAAAGAAAGGTTTAAACTTTGCAGTCACACCAAAAGAAATACCATATGATGAATTTATTGTAGCAACAGAACTAGCATGTCAACAGATCACAGATGAGGGAAAGAAAGCAGAACTCAGAAATAACGTAGTTGGGATATTAAAAAACAGCCAAATTCAACACAGCAATATTACAAAAGAAGAACAATCAGCCATGACAGCTTTATCCAAAAATGAACAGATAATTATTCTACCGGCAGATAAAGGAAGAACCACAGTAGTTATGGACAGAGAAAAATATAAACAACAGATGAAACAGATGCTAGAAGACAAAAATACATATGAAATACTTAAAAAAGATCCAACAGAAAACATTAAGAAAAACATGAAAAAATTACTGAAGCCACTGCACGAAAAAGGCAAAATAACAGAAAAAAATGTACAAACACTGGATTCCCACAGCAAACATAACACCAAGAATATATGGAACACCAAAAATACATAAACAAAACACCCCACTTAGACCAATAGTAGACAGCATAGGCACACCAACATACAACATGGCAAAAGATATCAGCAGAATCATCAGCCCGTTATTAGGAAATACAGACCAACACTGCAAAAATAGTATAGAATTGGCAAAAGAACTAAAGGAAATTACAATAGAAGGCAACGACATACTCATCTCACATGACGTCACATCTCTGTTCACAAAAACACCAACCCAAAAAACCATAGACATAGTAGTTAACAGAATCAGACAAGACAAAACTTTACATAAAAGGACAAACCTCACAGCAGATGACATAGCACAACTGATAGGACTGGTAGCTAACTCCACTTACTTCACATACGACAACACAATATACAAACAACTGGAAGGCTTCGCCATGGGTAACCCGTTATCAGCCACCCTGTGCGAGTTTTTCATGGAAGACCTGGAACAAAAAGCCATAGCCACCGCCCCCCCAAACTGCAAAATAAAACTATGGAAACGCTACGTAGACGACATACTGGAAATCATACCAAAAGGTCAAACAGAAACACTAACACAACACTTGAATAACATTGACGACACGGGCAACATAAAATTCACTTATGAGTTAGAAACAGAAGGCAGCATAGCATTTATGGACATGAAAATCACCAGGCAGACCGACGGGACCCTAAACATAAACACATACAGGAAACCAACACACACAGACCAATATCTATTATGGACATCAGAACACCCCACCATACACAACATGTCAGTAATCAGAACATTATATCACCGAGCAAACATAATAACAGAAGAGAGAGACCGTAAACAAGAGGACAAACACATACAATACGCTTTAAAGACCTGCAGATACCCGACATGGGCAATAAACAAAGGAAAACAACAAACAAAAACAGAAAGCAAAGAACAACCCAAAAAAAGAACCAGAAACCCAGAAAGACAAGAACCAGAACCAGTGATAACCCTACCATACATCAGAGGCATAACGGAAAAAATAAGAGCAACAATGAAAAAACACAACATAAACACACCAACAAAGCCATACACAACAGTTAGAAACAGACTAGTGCACCCAAAAGACAAAATATCAGCTGGGCTTAAATGTGGAGTCATCTACGAAATCCCATGCAAAATATGCAATAAAACATACATAGGAGAAACCGGACGCCAACTCAATACACGGACAATAGAACACAGAAAGGAGTGCGAGAAAGAGGCAAATCGTAAACACACAAGAGCAGCAAAAGAAGAAGCAGAAAGTACAATAAAAAAGTCAGCCGTAACAGAACATTGCTTAAGAGAAAACCATATAATGGACTGGGACAGCACACGGATCATAACCACCGAACAACAAAAATACAAAAGATGGATCAAGGAAGCAATCGAGATAAGGAGACGTGGATGTGGGACCATGAACAGGGACGACGGAGTTTACACGCTGGACCACGCATGGGACTGCATCGTCGGAGAGGGGAGAGCGGGCAGTAGAGGGCGACAACGTCCTCTGCTGCCCGCAGATAAACGGAGAAGGAAGTGACGCGCCACCATCAGCGTCAGCCTGAAGAAGCCGGCAGCCGTCGGCGAAACCGTAGCTACAAACAGGTAAACAAAACTGTTTCTGTGTTTAAAAAAGAACGAGAGCCACAGGAGATCAGTGGGACATTACCTACATGCTAACCCAAAGCTAACAGAGATTTTCTGGGGGGTTTTAGCAAGGGAAAAAAAACTTAGTAACGAAATCATAGCTAGGTAAGCAGACTGAGGATATCGAGGATATCCGCATGTCCGCCGTTGCCAGCTCTAGGAGCGTCGACTTGGCTACCGGTGCTGTTTTGGCACGGAGCTGAGGATCTCTGACTGCAGTGTAACGGTGAAGCCTCCGCTATCCTCGGTCAGAAATGTAGCTCTAGTTTTGTTACCCAGTAGCAAAATGTTATACCGTAAATCCTCTAATACAGGCCAGTATTCAATTAAAGGCCGGGTCTCCAATTTTGGCCGGTGCCGGAGTCGGCTGAGGTGAATAATGGCCGGTCTCTTATTGTGGCCGGGTGGAATGTGGTAACAAGCAAGTACGGGGGCGCTTGTGTCATCGTCTCACTTTTGATTTGCGAGTGATAGACCGCGAGGGTAACTTTAACCGTGCGGAGACGATGAGGTTGCAACAAACAGACGCCATTGAAGGTAATCAGAAGTGAGGAACAGAAAATGAAATAATTATTTTAATGTTTAGAGCAGCAGGAACTCCGAGAGGCTGCAGGCGCATCAGTGAGTTTGCGGCCGCTGCGCAGGGGGAGGGGGGAGAGGGCTGAAGCAGGGGGAGGGGGGAGAGGGCTGAAGCAGGGGGAGGGGGGAGAGGGCTGAAGCAGAAACTACCGTTGTTAAAAGAAATGTGTTTAACTTTGAAAATGTGGGCGCAATTTTAATCGTCAAAAACTCCAGCGAACCATTAGTTCATTTTGCTCAAATAGAAATTGAGGCCTGCATCTAATTCTGGTCCTCCTTCCAATAGAGGCCTGGAGCTTGATGAGCTTGAGTCAAATACAGGCCCGGGCCTGTATTAGAGGATTTACGGTATTTCAATCATCAGACCGAGCAGTGTTATGGTAAACACAAAGAATTTCCCCCCATTCAACCAGTAAAATAGAGTACAGAAATATGGTTTTACGCACGCTGGGTTTCCCCAGCGCTTTATAAGCCTGGCGGGCCGCTAGGCTTTACTTGGCCACACGCCAGGCTAAGCGTCATGCCCCGCCCCCCTCCCCAACCCTACCATGTCTGCTGATATGAACGGTGCAACAAAACTAGATCCCTCCATCAGCTGATCAGCGGAAAGTGTTCCAGTCAGAGTTGATAAAGCTCCTTGGATGAGAAGCGAAACGTCTTCAAGAAATCAAAGAAGCCCAGCTGCCTTCATTCAAGCCCCTTTGGACCGCCATCTTTTTGTGTTTTTTCGGTTGCTTGCAGCTCTGGTGCTAAGCCTGCTCAAAGTTTCTCGGTAAACGTAGAGCGCTGTTATTGGCGCGGCCTAAAACTGTTTAGGCCATTGGCCTTCTGTAGTCATCTGAGGCTACAATGGAGTGTGGCTAGACCGACCTGCAGAGCAAAACCTTATGCTAGTGCCACACTTGGTCTAGTTTTCTCAGCTAACATCTATTTCCTCTAAGGGGAATGAACATTTGGTTCAGTGGCCTAGTGGTATGGGTGTCTGCCCTGAGACTGGGAGATTGTGCGTTCAAATCTGCGGTTGGGTCACACCAAAGACTTTAAAAGTGGGACCCAACGCCTCCCTGCATTAAGGGTTTGACTAGAGGCTGAACCACCAAATGGTTCCAGAGCACGGCCGTGTCTGCAGCTCACTAGATGGCTCAAATACGGGGAGCAAATTTCACACACCAGTGTGTGTAACCGCTAACGGGACTTTAACTTCAACAAATAGATTTTGTTCTTTTACACGACTGGGGTGTCAACAGCTGCAGGCCGGCCCACTGACACCTGTGATTTGCTGCTGAAAGATGTCAGCCATGTTGTGAGGGATTCAAGCCGTTGTATGTCAGGATAAACTGCATCACTGTGGCGTTGTGGGCTCGACACACGGGAGGTGACGTTACCTCTCCGTTCATTTTCTATGAAAAACGCGTGACCAGGCGATGATTTCGGGTCTCTCTGCTGTTAAGTGACACAAAAAAGTGCGTGTGAAGTTTTGTGCTTGTGCATGTGTCGTGCAAGGATCAGCGGCGGTTTCGTCGACTGACCAATGAGCGGACAGGATGCTCGCCAGTCCATCTCTGGGCAAGCACAGAGGAAAGGTGAACACTTGCTGTGTCGGATTTCCCAGAGCTTTACGACATTTCTACAGATGAACAGAGATGTTCAGAAAAGGGCGGGGCCACGGGGAGCTGATGCATCAGGTAAGTTTGTTTTACACACGTATCTAGTGCAATAGCAAACTTTATAAAATATTTTATGTGTTAGATAACTCTGAACTGCTCAGACAGCCAATCAGAACAACGAAAGACTCGCTCGTCGCCCTGGAACAGCGCGTCGCTGGCCGCTGTCACATGTCGCTTCCCGAGTGTCAAGCCCCATACCCATCATGCATTGCTTCTTTCCAGATAAAATAACACATTTTCTTTGTTTTGTTGTTGTTGGGGTTATGGTGAACAAGCTTGTTAGTTAGCAAGGATGTCGGTGGGTTTAGCTACTTACCTGGTCGGGTCGGGCCGGGTCGGGTTGGACGTGGTTCCACTGTGTTGTAACTCTGAATAAAGATGGAGGCGAGTGGATAAATCCTTTCCCTGTGTTTCTCCTTCCCTCTTGGCTTCAGTACCGTGTGGAGTCTATGATGCTACGTGTGGCCAAACCCCTCAACTACATACCCGTGACCCCGAGCATGCAGCAGCGCGCTCAGCAGAGGGCCCCACAGTGCATCCCGCTCGTGATGGAGCCTGAGTCCCGGTTTTACAGCAACTGTGTGGTAGTGCTGGACTTCCAGTCGCTCTATCCGTCGATCATAATCGCATACAACTATTGCTTCTCTACGTGCCTCGGCCATGTGGACAGCCTGGGAACGTAAGAGCAGCAGCAGCAGCAGCACTTGCTACCTCCACCCTCCCTGCTGAGTTCAGTTTACATTTGCACCTGTTCAGAGTACACAGTGGACACGATCAGACTAAGTATAAAAAACTAAAGGAAATCATGAGGACACCTAAAAGCCAGATCAACAGTTAAAGGATGAGGTCATTATATAATAAATATCAATACAAGAGGTAGCTAAGGCCAGTGTCGCCAACTCGGCGACTTTGTCGCTGTTCCTAACGACTTTTTGACCCCCGTCAACGACGTTTTTCCAAAAAAGCGCCTAGCGACAAACCTAGCGACGTTCCTCAGGACCCGTTGCTACTTTCTGTAGAACTTTCTTGTAGATAATCCCTGCAGATTAGCAACAAAGGAACCGTTTGCACTCTGAACCGTTCTGCCGGGAGTAAGTAAAGAGAACGATAATCTGCACGTGTGCACGAGGACTGACCAGTCATAAACCGCTTTCGGCTGGGCCGGCGACAAAGGTACAGCTGCAGAGCTGGAGACCGCCGATGTACTTCTGCTGCTGCTGTAGGCTCACGCTTCTACTAGAGACGGCGCGGGCGTCAACCTGCGATCTCTGGTTCTGCAGCCGTCAGACTCTTTGGTTTTTCCTGCATTTGGTAAATAAAGTCATCGGGAGTCTCAACTACGGTCCCGTTTACACACGCAGCTCCGTGGCTCCTCTGAATTTCCTTCAGTGACACAGGGATGGTTACACCATGAGACACCCGCTCCCTTTTGCTCGGTGCGCCGTTATTATCACGATGGAGAGAAAACACAACAGAGGTGTAAAAAAACTGAGAATGAGGAGAGCAGGAGGTCTGAGTTATATCCTACAACAGAACTGTTGGGATCACCACACCATATCTGCCTTAATGCCACTTTATTTATACTTTTGGATTTTATGGTACATATCAAAGCAATTTGGGCCGTTTTAATCATGCTAATTA